TCATTACGTATAAAGTCTGGAACTGCTCCATAGACAATGAATTAAGGGTGGGAGAAAAAAAATCGATACAGCATAGTATTGCAAAATTTTGTGTGACAATATTGTATTGATACACTGGTGGTGCCAAGTATCATTTTTTTATTATACATTAATAATATTGCATATACAAATTAAACTTTTAGTAGCCTACTGGAATAATGAAATCAGTTGCCTTTTTCAGTCCACCAGATACATTTTGCTACAATAAAAATGACTGAAGTGAGATGAACAGACTGAAAACTTTGTCATATGGATAAAAATTATGTGGACAAAGTTTTCCTTTGGGGACATAATTTGCAGTCAGAAAAAAGGTAATAAATCGTAATATATGCTATCACAATACTCAGCATAGCGACAAAGATTTAAAATCACAATAAAATTGTCATCAGAATTAAGTATTGTGATAATATTGTATCATGGGGCCTCTGGTGGTCCCCACCCCTACAATTAAGGGGAGCCTAATTACATGAACCCACAGAAGGTTTATCTTCTTTTTTTGTATCCAAATGAGGTGTATTCTATTATAGTGTTCTCAGTTCTGAAAAAATAAAATTGCATCCATATACTCAGAGTATTCCACTGGGCTCTCAGTGTCATCTAGAACGTCTTTCACCATTCATTGTCTATGGAGCAGCTCCAGACTTGTTTAGTTGACTAAGTTTAAAAAGGCAAATAACTTGTAATGTATATAAATAACCATCCCAAACAATTCTCAAACACATAAATTGTCTCTAAATTGTAGAAAATCTTTAGTTGTGCTGCTGTCTCTGGAGTCTGTTTGTCTTGTCTTGAACAGTATGTGGAATATAACCCAGTGCTGTTTCATGTACCCAGTTTATTATTTGTAATAGTGATGTTGCTTAGATCACTTCTTCTTTTCAAATACTGCAGATTACTTAGGCTTTGCAAGTGGCTGTCTGCTGCTGAACAACATGATCAAAGCATCCACTGAGTGCAGGTATTTTGCAGTTTATCATATAATTCACAGCAGATCACACACATCAACAGAGAAGCAAGTTTAAAAACCAGGGGTTATTGTTCTGTTGTAGCCTTTGATTGACACTTCCCTCTTGAGACTAGCACCACCCTCTCTAGGCCATCACCATGGAAACCAGGCACACGAACACAATGTAGGATAGTGTGAGGGGCTCACCCAAAACCCCGTTATCAAGACAATAACAAGACAGGAAAATACAGAAAAATATGTGGTGATCCTGTTATCACTGACATTTTCAAATTGTCCTCATTACAGAGTGTTGTATCATTTTATAAACAGGCTCGTGCGATCAGATCCTCATGCACTGTTTGTTTTAACAAACTATAAAGCTGCAACAGAGAAGAGACCTTTAATATGTTTTGGTAGAAAACATTAGTCTGGTTGGGTTGGTGAACACAAGCTTGGTGTTGGCAGGTCACTGATATCACTCACTGTGCATTGAAATTCAAAAGTATTTTGCTCTTGTTGCCATGTGGACTGCACAGGTAGCTCATAATACAGATGGAAAGCACAGTAAAAGGGAAGTGATACCACCAAGAGAACAAAGAACACTGCACACATTATCCTAAGGCAGCAGTGAGTCCATGCAGAAGTGTCAAAGTGTTTCTTCCTGTTCTGACTGGCCACACTGCAAGGTGTGGCACAAAGCCTGCATCACAGCCTCCCACTGCCTCCCTGATCTCTCGCAACTCTGTTTCTTTGATGAATTTCCACTGCATGGTACAGCTTGAGTATACTCAGGGTTCGACATAACCATGACCACAAAGTTAACTTGTGGCCACCAAATATCCTATGTGGCCACCAGGTTTCATCAGGTCTCTCTTGAAAATAAGACTGTGTGTCTCAGTAAGGTTACCTGAATAGATATAGGTTAAATTAAAAAAAATTCCTTACATCAAGCCTTCGCCTGTGCAACACTACAGAACCAGAAACACTCAGAGTTATTTGTGCCTTTTGGTTCAACATGCTACAAAAACAGCAAACAGTACTCATTGCAAGCTATCTACCGATATGTAAATCCCTACTGAAGTTTGCTTTATTTATCTTACTCAAACTGCTAATGCCCTCCTTACTGAAGAACCAAAAACACAACAGGTGGACTATGAAAAACGAAATTGCAACAAAACTTTAGGAGTGAATGGAAGCAGGAGTTTAAGTGGCTCGAATGTGAAACATCTAAAGCTACGGTTTGAAGTATGTATTATTGTTACAATCAACAAGGTGAACCCAAACACAGAACACAGACTCATAAAGAGAGTGGTAAAAATGGGGTTTTATTGCTAGGATAATGAATGTGACTGTAGGGGATGGAAGCTGATGGCAGGGGAGTAAAACAAGTATGGTAGAAGGTCAGACAGGCAGGCAGGCAGTGATCCTATGACAGAGGACAGAGTTAATAACTTAAAAATTATGGCGAAAAGGTAGTTTCTTGCAACCCTAGAATTCAGATAAAAATATTCACAAATGAAAAAACACTTCTGGTTGCTGATAAGTAGTGTTTAACTTTTGATTTAACACTAAAAATTAAAACCCTCGGCGCACACTGCAGTGCAAGCAGACAGATGTGTGACTCAGAGCAGCATGTGTCACTGACACCAGACTCAGAGTGCAGCGGACCGGTGGAAAATGTCACCATCAGCATATTATTTTACATCAATAAAATCTATTTTATCATTATTTTGAGTCACATTGTTGAAAGAATTTACCTGTCTGTGTTCAAGCAGGATAACAGGTCTCCATTCATTGCATGTTGGGCTTTCTATTTTCTTGTCGGAGATGTTTTCTTTTTTAATTACATGATAGCTATTCTCCCTTAACTCACCAGTAAAGAGTACCTTTGTCCATTTCGAATAACCCATGGCAATAATAATATCCCTCTTCTCTGATTTACTGTGAAACTTTTTAGGCAATGGGGTTAGTGTTGCGTTCAAGGTCCCCCAAAAAAACAGGAGAAAAAAAAAGGCTGAATATTTGATTTATTTATTTATTTTTTCACAATCGAATCCCGTGCCATCGAACGAAGCTTCGAATTTTCTAATTTTTTGGGTCAGCCCTAAACTGTACCTCTGCGCCAGCGATAGCCATAGCTGGAGGCATTATGTTTTCAGGATGTCCATTCGTCTGTCCCATTCTCATGAACGCAATATCTCAAGAACTCTTCAAATCTCTTCAAATTCGACACAGAAGTCCCCTTGGACTCAATGATGAACTGGTTAGATTGGTGGTCATAGGTCAAAGGTTAAGGTTCACTGTGACATCATAATATTATGCATAAAATACTTTTCAGGCCATTACTCACCATCATATCTCAGGATCAGAAGGGGAGACATTTGGTCAGTCATTGAATTGGTGACACTAATTTTGAGTGTTCACCTTGAAACTGTGCTGATTGGATCTTCTGTGCTGCTCGGGGAGGATGCATGTGAAGCATCCATTTTTCACTGACATGTAAACTGTAAGAGATACTTGAATGGCATACAACCATGGGGCGGTAATTCTAGTTATTAGTTAATTTAATGTCAGTTAAATTCTTAGTTTTTTAGTCTATTTATTTATGGATTTATTCATTCTTTAGTAAAATGTTCCTGTTTCTATTCTAGTTAACTAATGTATCAATTATCAAAGTAATATCAATTTCAAACAGTCCCCTTAATTGACTTTAATTTCACACAGGAAGAGTTCCATATTTGCACTTTATTGGACAGTCAGTGTGCAGCAGACCCCTCAGTCATTGTTATCTTTCTTTTTCATATTTATCTCCACAAAATGCAGCTGAGCCAGCATCTTTTCTCCAAAATATTAATCATGTCTGAGTTCTCAACATAATGTGGCTATGGCTCTGACTACACTGCTGCTGTGGACCCACATTACTGTCCCTGGTTTGTCCGTTGAGCACAGGCAGGCCTGAGCATGCAGTCTTAATGAGATCAGTCAGGTGAGGAGCGAGCATATCGTTACACTGCCTGGACCCAACTGGAAGCTTGTCAGGCCTGCTGTTTAGTGATCCCGTAACAACAGGTAGAGACATTCCACTCACTAAGCAACTAAGTGTGCATGCACCACCCAGATATGTGTGTTTATCTGTAATAAATGTCTACAAGGATTGGATTATTGATTTCAAGCTATAATCTCCACTTCTCCTGGGTATCCCAGACTAGTAATTAAGCATGTTGTCTGCTTAAAGCAACACTTACATATTTATATTTTATATTTTACAGAGAACTCTGCAGTTCTGTGCAACTTTGTAGCATAGACTAACTGATACTGATATTTATATTGTGGGGTTAAAAAATCTTATTACGGTCTATTGGCTAGATAAAAACCCATACCATTAATAAACAGTTTTACAGATCCCTTTTTGCGTCTGTCTTTTCGTCCATCCAGTTTTCAAGAATGCGATATTTCAAGAATACCACGATACACACCATTCTTCGCTAAATCTAAACAATCTGCTTTACTTACTGGGTTTGAATAGATTGCACAGGCAAGTATGTTACACAGCTCCAAAAAGAAATAATCTGTCAGAAAAGTCAGATACATATTAAATTAGGATGCTTAGCATGTAGACAATTGTAGGATATAAACAGTAAGTCAACTAAAACAATTTGGCAGAATAACTTTAAGTAAACTTACTGGTGCCAGAATGGTCTCAGAGGAGAGATTTGCACAGAACACACCCAGCCCTTATATAACTTCCTCCCTTTCTAAACTTGCACCCTGTGAATCTCTCCACTCACTCGTGGTCTCACATACTGACATCATGCTTGAGTTTTTGAACTGCTGTTGTGGGTCTCAATTTAAGACCTGTGGATTACTTGAGTCTGTAAAGAGGCAACTGTTTGCCATAATAACCTTAAGGTTATAATTTGTCCAATTTTGTATTTTCTGCCCCCAAGTGGCCATAAAATGAATGGATGCAGTGAACTTGTCTTTATATACTGTACCTCTGCCTGTGTCATTGCAGTGCTCCTGTGTGCCTCAACCCAGCAACATGGTGTTTGTTGAGAAGACACTGGACAAAAACCTCTGCCACAAGCTTGTGGTTCCTTCAAGGTGCATTAATGAAACCAAAAGAATGAAATGTTTTGACGATACAAAGCAACATACTGGAACCTTTCTTCTGAAAGTTACTCAAGTGTTATATTATTTCAGTTGACAGGACACCTCCTACATTTCCTGTGTCTGATGGAAGCTAAGGGATGCAGCCAGAGGTGGAGGATGCATCTCCCAGAGTTTAAACACAGCAGGAGATGCTCGAATCTGACTACAAAAGACAGTGAAAGAGGCAAGACAGAGGAAGAAAGAGACAGAGGAGGGCCACACAAAAGTGTTACTATGGCTCCCACCTCGAGGTATCTGACAGACAGACAGTATGTAATGAGAAGGCCTCTGTTCTCTGCAGAACAACATACATCTATCTTAAAGAGGACACATCCACAGAAGCACACAGAAAAGGTAAGGAGGGCAGAGAGTGAATTGTATTTGTTTATTGCTACTGATTCTGTGGAATCCCTTTCTTTCTAGGGGAAATGAAACTGCATGTTTTGAATTCTGGTGACTAAAGACTGCTTCAGATGTGTGTTTTATTATGTAAATGTGATGTGGTGAGTGACATATAATAAATGTAGTATTTATTGCAGCTATACTCAACTTATGACCTGCAGGCCAAATCTGTATAGGGTGATAGGGTACTGGGTAGTCTGCTTCTGTTGTTACAATTCTTGAATTTCTAACGTTTATACAAATCTTGAAAAATATCTAGTCAATACCATTTTCAATACCACAGGGAAAAACTGACATTGAGAGCAAAAAAGTTTGCATTTTTTTAAAAAGATGAATATTTTATAAGACTCAACGATAAACTGATTAGATTTGTGTGTCAAAAGCCAAGGATTCTATGACCCCATCTGTCCTCTTGTGAACACAGTATCTCACAAATATCCTGAGGGGATTTTTTTTTCCAATATGGCACAGACATCCTCTTGGAGTCAAGAATGAACTGATTAGATTTTGGTGAACAAAGGTCAGGATCACTGTGACCTTGCGTCCATGTCATTCTTGTGAATGTGATATCACAAGAAGGCCTTATAGCAATTTCCTTAAATTTGACACAAACATCAATGATGAACTGAATATTTTTTAGTGGTGAAAGATCAAGGTCCGTGCAACCTTTTATCTGTCCCATTCTTGTAAATGTGATATATCAAGAAGACCTTGAGGGAATTTCCTCAAATTTGGCACAAATGTCCACTTGGACTCAAGCATGAACTGATTAGATTTTGGTGGTCAAATTTTAAGGTCACTGTGACCTCACAAAACATGTTTTTGGCCATAACTCAAAAATTCATACGTTAATTATGACAAAATTTTACACAAATGTCTGATAGAATAAAGTGATGAAGTGATGACATTTTATATCCAAAAGGTTAAGAGAAAAATGTGTAAAGCATCCATGTTTTCACAGACATGGATGTAAACTGTAAGTGCAACTTGACTGGTTCACCTTTTTTAATTCTGTCAGTTTCCTGTCTTGCAGGAGAGACATTTGGGTGTTAGCAGAAGAGAAGAAAATCTGCAACACACTGACGTGAATTTCTTGACCAGAGCAAGAGAGGTGCTGACCCCAGAAGGCTTCAGTCTCTCTCACAGTGACATGTCACCTCTCTCAGCCTTAAGAAGAGACCTGGGCTCACCCTTGACTGTCTCTGAGCTCCGGGCCAAGCGGAGCCATGAAGAGCCCACGTTTGGATCACCTCTCCCTGGCAGCAGATCAGCTCAGCGGTGCCTCTTGAGTTCCATTCTTGAGGTCCAGAGACCAAACCCACCTCTTAGGCCGCAGCTGACCTCCACTGTCCTGTATCCAACCTACAGCCCTCGTTCAGAGTACTCCAGGTCAGGCAAGACTCAGCACAGGCTGGGAGGGAAGGAGGGTAGAGGTGGGGGAGAGACCAAGCTAGGCTCTACTGAAGGACACTCAAAAGGATATCCAGTGTCTCCCTGTCAGGCAAACTACTGGGCCTGTGCCATTCCTAAAGGTTTGCCTCCATCACCAGACAGGCACTCTGCAGACTGGGACCCAAACAGGGAGTACCAGGCCCTGCTGGACTACACTTACCCTCTGAGACCAGGACAGTTGGTCTGTGAGGGGGACGGCTCCAAGCACCAGGAAGACCCTGTCCTCCAAACAGACCCCAACCTGCAGGACTCAGGGATTGAACTGGACCACCTTTGTAGCTCCACCAGTCTGTCAGGGTTGGATTTGTCTCTTAGTATGGGTCAAAGATCACCAGACTTGCAGGGGTTCACCAGATCCTCAGATGGTGAGCCCTCTGGTACCTTGCTCTCCCTAACAGATCCTGTAGGTTCGTCCTTGGACAGTTTGGACTGCACTAAGAATAGAGGTGGATTGAATCGTTACAAGTTTGAAGGTTGCCATCATGAGCACCGTGCACTGTCCTCCTCTACCTCCATTGCTTTTACCCGCTCCACCAGTGGTTTTCCACAGTCAAGGCATGTAGGTGGGGAGGTGGACGAGGAGTTTTGGCCTCTTCCAGAGCAGCTGGAGGAGCTGCAGCTGCTTTCCAGACAGGTCAGTACTGTGGAATCTCTTTCTAGATTGCATTTACTTTACTATGGACTGAAAACACACCTGTTTCATCACAGTGCCCAGTGTCCTCAAAGAAACACACTGCACATATATATACTGTGCATCTGTATAATACACTTTGATCTGTGTGTGTGTGTGTGTGTGTGTGCAAATACATGTGTTGCTAAAAAAGGATTTCAACAGTAAATATATATAACATATTTTGGATTAAAGATAAACTATGCAGGATATTGCTTAAAAACATTGTATAGACTTATACAGATTTAATCCCTCTTAATTATCACTTATGAGCCACTCTCACTGAGTATGAGACATGACATTAGAGAAAACCGATTTATTGTGTTGGTCCAACTAAAACCAGACTTTTAAAATACATGTGAAAGTATATCAAAGTATATCCCCCTATTATTTTCAGTGTACAACCCCACACCAGCGGCCGCTAGATGTGTATCGGGCGCTCCTGGACACGCCACCCTGCAGAACTTAACGCCACTGTCCTGTTTCCAGCCTTGCCGCCCCACAGAATTAAATGCATTTTCCCCCACTCGCTCTTTGCTTGTACATGCCAACTCCCATAGAGAGCTCTTTTTCTCTGCCCCTGTGGCAGCTCAACTCCTCTCCTCACCATGGAGACATAAAGAGAACTCAGTTGCTGTTGCTGTCTCGTGTGTGAGTAAGACGAGATGACAAGAGACTCGTTGAAATACCCCAAGCTAAACAACCCACAAAGGTTTTTCCTTTCCTTTCATTGGTCGCCTTCTGATAGTCTGGGGACACTCCTTTCTAAAGTGTGTTTAACACACCGGAGAAAACGGCTGGCAACAAAGCAACGCCTCTTGCATTTTTTAAAAGGACACTCCCTCCCGGAAATGTGTGCTCCCCCTTTTCTTGTCCGCAAGGAAACAAACACACAGAGAGCTTGAAAATGGATGCCGAGAGATTTAACTCTGTTTTATCAAATGTGTGCTCAGTCCACGAGATTGTGGAAATGAAGGACTTACAGCAACTTTGTTTAAAACTTTTAACGCAGTCGGACTATGTTTACGAGCACAAGAGTTCAGCGAGCCATCGAAGGACCGCCCTACGGATTTACTATTGGTTCTGCAACGTAGGGAGTTTTTTTAAACTCTGAAATTGTATCTGCCCATCTAAACACAAAATCAGGGAGAAAGACATCAGTCTTTAGTTAAGCAAAGTGTCTAAAGACTGACTTGTGAGTCTACTCTCAAGGTGAAGTCTCCTTCTGAAATCTGAGGGGATTTGTTGCAGAAAAATAAAAACAATAATGGAAACATAAGTGAGAGCTGGAGAAAGGAGTGCCAGGAATAGTTTGTTGGTTTGGAGGACAGAAAGTGTAGCTTAGTGTCATCTAAAAGATTTTCACTATAATAGCTGAATATTTAGATGATTTTTGACAGTGTGGAAAGGCAGCAAAATTTCAGAATGAGACTTCTTTCTTCAAGCACGCAAGTGTGTGTGTGTGTGTGTGTGTGTGTATGTGTGTGTCTTACTGGATGGACAGGAAGTTGAAGAATGTTTCTCTTTGAATTCCTCCTTATGAGATGTATGCAGATTCATATCCTGCTCAGAATACAGTGGACAGCCACAAAAATGCCTCCTTGATTCTGTCGGCTAAATGATAATGACAACTCTAAAACCTATCAAGCACTGAATTGGCTGTAAATCTGGATCATATGGACACATCATTAGCTCTTAAAACAAAAGTGCACATCGTGGAGTTAGACCTGACAATGCAGGAACAGACACACACACAGTGGGTCAGTGTTTTTCAGCTTTAATGTTCGGTAGTTTCTGCATTCCCTCAGCTAAAGACAGAATTTGGTCCTTGTATGCAGGTGAGAGAGGTGACGGCCCAGCTGAGCCGGCCTGTCACAGCCAGCTGGGAGTCACTGGAGCCAGGCATCACCTCCATTCTCTCCTCTGTCACCCTACTTGAGAAACAGGAGGCTGGAGACGAGGAGGACGAGGCAAAGGTCAAAGAGCTGGAGGGCAGCAGTCAACACTCAGATGAAGGAAAAGATGAGATGGATAGAGAGGAGAGGAGTGCTGCTCAGATGGGTACGTTAGAAGCATTTCTAGTCTTAGTGACCACTCAAAGCGCTGAACAAAACAAGCACGTTTCACCCATTCACATTTATACACTGAAGGCCGAGGCTACCATACAAGGTGCCACCTACTCATCGGGAGCATTAACCATTCACACACACTCACACAGCAATGACACAGTTATCAGGAGCAATTTGGGGTTCATTATCTTGCCCAAGGGCACTTCAGCATGCAGACTGCAGGGGCCAGGGATCAACCTTCTAATAGGTGGACAGCAGAAATGACGGTGCCAGCAGAACCTGTGCACTTTAATCTGGAAAAATAATAAACAACTTTATGGAATAAGGATTATTATTAACAGTAAGGATCTTTCCTCTCCACATCAACATATTGTAGGATGGATAAATAAATGTGCTGTTAGCTCATGCCTCCCTCTATTGGCCAAACACAGATGCAGGGTAACTCTGAGCAAATACTAACCAACATATAAACAACAAGCACTGAATATTTACAACACCAGTTGGTGCAGTAGTTATGTACTGTTTATATGTTCACAGTGCACCAACTTACAGTTTCATGCACACACATGTCCACAAATAAAACAACCACCTCCTGTCCATAGTCAGTTCAACACATTAGAAGAGAACATATTTTCTCTCTTGCTCTTGAGTAATATCTCCCCATGCAGATAGTTTTGATTTTATTATACCTCCACGCCAGCAGCCAGAGGTAGCCGGATTACTTTTTGGGTTATCCGTACATACATACACATGTCTGTACGTCCATCTGTCCCATTCTCCGAAACACAATGTCTCAAGAATGCCTTGAGGGAATGTCCTCAAATTAGCCACAAACATCCACCTAGACTCAAGGATGAACTCATTAGATTTTGGTAGTCAAAGGTCACTGACACAAATGTTTAATAGGATAAAATGATGAAGTGATGACATTTTATATTCAAAAGTTCAAGGTCAGCTTCATAGTGACATCATGATGTTGTGCAAAACTACTTCACTGGCCAATTGACCTATGGCTAAGCCACGCCCCCTCCACTCACTCGGACAAAATATCAACATTCAGTGACCAGGCGTTATGGCAGGTGTCACAGTACACGGCATTTCGCAGGAGGGAATTGATGATTTTTGGAGATATAACGATCAGATGTCATTGAGAAGTAACCAAAAGGGCCTAAACTACACATTAGAGGGATAATTTCATCATTTTATTGTTGAGAAGGTTGATGAAAAGCTTAAATTACAAGCCAGAATTTACAGGTCCCAGTGTAAGCGTGATAAACCTCATCTCATTACTGTCACCATCAAAGACAACAAGATAGAGGATCAGCATTGTTCCACTGAAGTTAAGGTTTTTGGCTCAGAATATGAGAAAAGGATAACGGCCTTTTTACCATCTTTACCAAGAGTGTCTCTCCTTTATTTTGGTGCTACAGTATTTACATTGAATCATTCAGCATAACGGTGGTGGTGGTTTGGTCAGATGCTGAATTGGTGACACTAATCTTGGGTGTCTGCCATTGGCTGATTGTATAGATCTTCTGTGCTGCCAGCGGGGAAGATGAGTGTGAAGCATCCATTTTGTCTACTGTCTTGGCTACATATGAGTCTGGACAGACATGGATTTAAACTGCAGCTTGACTGGCTGGTGTAGAAATACAGCCTTGATGTGGTAATTGTAGTTTGTCCAGGTTTGGAGAAATTTGTCTCTGAGATTTCTGCCTCCTCCCCAACACAATGGAGGTGAATGGAACTTAGTTTTTGGTCCTTACAGCACTGAAAAATGTCTGTGTCCTGTCCATCAGCAGCGGCTCACAGGGCCTGTGAGGGAGTAAGAAGAAGTTCTGGTGTCTTGGTGGAGCCTGTAGGAGGGGGACTGAGTTCATCTAGTCTCAGAGAGGTGGAGGTTTTGGTGGAGCAGCTGTCTGGCCTCACCTTGCCTGGTAGCCAGACAAGCAGCCAAGAAGAACAGGAGCAAAGTGACTCCCTGATGCAACACATCCAGGTAGAGACAACATCTGACCCTCCATACAAGAGTGTGACAGTAATATTTTTAAACATGACAGTATGAGACAACACTGCCTTCATAGTGGTCCAACTGTACCTGAAATGTAAAATCTGCATGCTTTTATCTCAGATGCACATTGTGACTTGAGCATCACATGGTAAAAGCAAGCCATGAATGTTGTGTGTGTTTCAGGTCTTCTGTTCACACCTCGAGCAGCTCATTCAGCAGCTGTATACAGTGTCAGAGAAGATGGAGCTGCTGGCTCCGCCCACTGTGGACATAGACAGTGTGAGATCGTCTCTGGCTGAGTATCAGGTGAGGACTGAGCCTCAAAGCAATTTTATACTCCAGAGTGGATTTGTTTGTACTACACTGGGTGTCTGCATAGGTGGAAACACATTTATGAGCATGACTCCACCTGTGGCTCTGCTGAGAGAAACGCTGGCCACTCTTCAACTCATAAAATAGGCTCCAGGCCGACTGTCATCTGTGGTGAACCTGACAGTGAAGTATCTGTCTAGTATCTGTCAGTTTCACTTTCACTAGTTGTCTTTGGTTCTGTGTGCCTCCATAAAGTTCTTGCTCTTTGCAGCCCTGTGGAGAAACACTGAACAAAGTAGGAACTGTGTGGTTTATTAGATATTAAAATGAAAATAAGTAAACACGCATACATTTTCCAACTGGAATTCTACAATAAACAAACCAACTAAATACTAAACTAGAAATAAATACTAACTTATGCAATGATCTAGTTAATCAGATACAGCCCACACTGAAACAAAATAAAGTGGAGCCCCCCATTCTTGTGCTGCATTTTGCAGGAGTTCCTCTCCAGTGTGACTTTCGTTTACTGCTCTAGTTTGGAGAATGTGAGACAGCAGTCGCCAGTTCTCTGTGAGATAATGTGCCGTTATAGTCACATATGAATCCACTGACCTTAAAGTCCAGGCGTCACAAGTTAATGCCACCCTAAGTGCTGTACTCAAAGATTCCTCAACTTTACGCTTAATTTCTCTGTAGAGCTTGGGTATGGCCGTGTTGGTAAAAAAACGTTGGGACAGAGTCACAAACCTGGGTTCTAGTGTTTTTAGCACGTAACAAAAGCGTTTGTGTTCAACAACGCTGTATGGACATAGATCTTTGCACATTAAGTAGGTGATGGTCTTTGCTATTTTCTTCGCTCTCAGAGTTGGATGCTAGTTTTGTCGAGCTAATTGTGTCCAGTTTTGGTTGGTTTGTCGGTGGAGCAGGTTTAGCATTAGCTTGGCCATCAGTGGCTAACGCTACAGTATCTCTGGATGGTGGAGTGTGAGGTGAGCCCTCACGTTTGTAGTATTCCCAGAGTATTTTATTCTCATATGACACTGCTTGCAAATTGCATGTGTAATATTCAAGTCCTTCTTTTCTTTTGTGTGAAAAAAAATCCAAAATATGTCCACACATTTGATTTAAACGCCGATGGCACATTCTGTTTTGATTAACTTTCTGCCACATGCTGCTGACTGAGACCTCTGCTGACCTCAGCAGGAAATAAAACATCAGCATCATCTAATGGACCAAAAAAGCAGCTGATTTTATTATTCTAGTACCAAAAGTTGGATTAAAATTAATGATGTATATAATAAAAGATTGATACTTGGTGCCCATATATCAATACAATATCACCATGCAAAATATCGACTGTGCTGTATCGAATTTTGTCCCCACCCCTCCTGCACAGGTTTCCCACAGTGTTTTAGGTCAAGTTTCATCTTCGTCACAGTGGAAAAGAAAAGTGTTTCCTCAGCAAATCCATCAACAGCTTATCACTGACAATAAACACTTTTTAACACAGTGCTGAAGGACTGTCCCCATGAGCTGCTTTCCCTCTTCTCTCTCTGCCCGCTTAGCATGAGCTAACACAGCACAACACAATTTCATCCCTACTCGTCACATTCTGCTGTTTGGGCTGAAGCCCCGCAGCAGCACTTAACATTCGACACCGTTATTCTCACACCATAACTGACACCGGTAGACTCTGCCATTAAACCTGTTAATAACTTTCACAGGGATTAGCTGAATTTGCGTTAATTGTTATGATTGCATTATTGCAACATCCTAGAGGGACTGATAAATGACATTTGCATTATACTGTTAAAGTCAATGAGACCTAGATCATACTGCATGAGTTTTGTGAGAGTTTGTAAACAAATGTTTTGATATAGTTTTGCTGTTGTTAAATGTGGTCCCCTATGACTTCAATTAATCAAGAATTTCCTGTTTTTCGATTCTTCATTCAGCAGAGGTATGCACGAAAAACAACGTTTTCAAATAGAAGATAACACGGCATGACTAATTGATTTACAAATGATCATTTTGTGGATGAAGTATTCCTTCAATAAGGTGGAAAACTCAGTTATTACTCCCTTCTTGCCCGCTGTGTTCTGCTGACAGTGTAATGTGACACTCTTGTTTACAGAGTTTTCAGAGGGAAGTGAGCAGCCATCAGCCCCTGACCTCCTGTGTTCTGCACACCGGACGGCTTCTCCTCAGCTGCATCAGGACCATGTCCCCACGTCAGTCTCTATCATGCAACATTATCAACACACACTTCATCTCATTATTTCCTCACTAAATCTTCCGGCATTCTCTCTGTGCGTTTGCAGTTTTAAGAGACACCCTGCTGCTGATTGAGAGGCAATCTGGAGTTCTGGAGACCCACACTGAACACTTTTTCTCCTCCATTCTGTCGGCCATGGACAGCCTCACCCAGCCCAGTCAGCCCAGTCCAGTCCAGCAGAGCAGAGAGGAGGACCTGGGCCCTGTGGGGGTCCAGGCATCCACTTTGTGAGCAGACTGCAGGACACGTCTGTGTTATGATTTATTTCAGTGTTATCTTCCTTTTTCTAATATTTGATGATACAAGGCTCTCATTTATGTATGTTTATTTAAAGGGCAGGTCCATCTGCATACTTCTTTGTGTTTTTCAAATGAAAGCTCCCACTCAGCTGTTAGCAAAAAGCGGTGACGTAGGTCACAGCGCTGATGGCCTCCCCTCCCTCAGTCCTCAGACACGCTGTTCACTGACTGTTGGAGAGTGAGGAAAGTGTTAGCTTGAAAGATTTGAGCGTAGAGGTGGAAGATGGGTCTGTTTTACTATTATTAAACCTTTATTTAACCAGATACATTGACATTTAATATAACACTGCATTTGTATTATAGAAACACATTTATCAATCCTTAGCATTACCTACATTTACATGATGGTCGCCACGCTGCCAGTTTGGAGAAGCAGACAGGAGGTTAAAGGCACAAAAGCTAGGCAACTTACTGCTGTGGACACCACTTTGTTTGATTCCAAAAGTCACACAGCAACACAAACAAATTAACCAGAGGCAGCAGTAGACTGTATTTTAACCACCTAAAAAAAGGACCACATGGGACGTTGGTGGCTTAGTGGTAGAGCAGGCGGCCCATGTACAAGGCTGTTGCCACAGCGGCCAGGGTTCGAATCCAGCCTGTTGCCCTTTGCTGCATGCCATCCCCCTCTCTCTCTCTCCCTCCTCCATGCTTACCTGTCCTGTCCATTAAAGGCAAAATACACACAAAAAAAAAAATCTAAAAAAAAAGGACCACATAAAAAAACTATATCAGTTTAAGTGTACGCTTTATTAACATAATTTTACCGTTTTACTTTACCTTTCCGATTGGGAACTGAGGCTGTTACATCGCCCTCTTCAAAGCCACCAGACTCCATTGACAGAAACAGCAATTTTAATCACTGTTGCTGGTCTACCACGGACATTATTTTTTAGTCATCCATCCATCCATCCATCCATCCATCCATTTTCATCTGCTTATCCAGGACTGGGTTGCAGGGGCAGTAGGCTGAGTACTCCAAATGTCCCTCATGCAGGAATGCTTTCCAGCTCTTCGTGGGGGATCCCAAGGCTTTCCCAGGCCAAATGAGAAATGTAATCCCACCAGCATGTTCTGGATCTACCCTGGGGCCTCCCACCAGTTGGATGTGCCCGCAGAACCTCCCCTTTTGACGCAAAGGAGCAGTGGCTCTACTTCGAGCTCCCTCTGGATGTCTGAGCTCCTCACCCTATCTCTAAGGCTGAGCCCAGCCACCCTGTGAGGGAAACTCAATTTGGCTGCTTGAATGTGCGATCTCATTCTTTCAGTCACATCACGAGGGTTGGGACGTAGATGGACCAGTGAATCGAAAACTTTGCCTTCCCGGCTCAGCCCCCTCTTCACCATGACAGTATGGCATAGTGCCCTCATCACTGCAGATGCCACGCCAAACCACCAATCCATTGCACGCTTTCCATTTTACACTCAGTCATGAACAAGACCAAGAACAAGATACTCAAGCTCCTTTACTTGGGGCAGTAACTCTCTCCCAACCCAGAGGGAGCAATCCAGTGTTTTCCAGCAAAGAACCATGGCCTCAGACTTGGAGGTGCTGACTCTCATACCGACTTCACATTTGGCTGCAAACCACCCCAGTGTATGCTGGAGGTCACGGTGTGATAGAGCTAATAGAGCCACATCATCTGCAAAAAGCAGAGATGCAATTCTGAGGTCTCCAAACCGGACCCCTTCCTCCCCATAGCTGCGCCTTGAGATTCTGTCCATGAATATCACAAACAGAATCGGTGATAACCCTGATTGATTGTTTAGTAAGTTTGTGTTATTGTGTGACTCTCTGAACCAAATTTACCGAGTTTATATGTAGTAACGACCTATATTTGGTCACAGGGAAAAAGTTTTTCGAAGGGCTTGAGAAAATAGCATTTTGATGCTAAAACATACATACATAATTTGAATTTTTCAAATTTTAGTACACAAGGAACACGACTGGAATGCCATAGAAATTATATGAAAATGTCAAAAAAGAATGGAGCACCCCTTTAAACATTTGGGCATCATGTGTATCAGTTGGGTGTGTATGGCACAACTTGATTCTTGCTTTAATTTACAATGATAAATCATAAAAGACACACTTAAGTGTCTAAACTGAAAACATAAAGTCAGTGACAATGCAGGACCTCAAAGCTCCTCAAACTCTGCACGAAGGATTACAAGAATGTTCTGTAGTGCCTTTTTCTACTCATGCTTACTGTTAACATTAAGCCTCAATCCCAATTCTCATTTTTACCCCTACCCCTTCATCTATCCCTTCCCCTTTGTCTAGCCCTTGCCCCTCAGAACGGAGTGCCAAGGGCTAGGGGTGAAGATATTCCCCTAAGAAATGGGACAGCGCTCGATTACCGCTATGTCATCAAACATTGTCGCTAGCTGGCTGCTACGTCAGCAGAGGCGACAAGTGTTTATCACAAACATTCAAAATGCTGTCTGCAAACGTTGTAATATCCATTGCTTGGGTTTTAGTGTTATTTCTGCGGCTGTCCACAAGTCGCAGAAATCAAAGGAGGAGAAGATATCTTTGACGCATACAAGTGCTGATGGACCAGTTTTTGGTATGTATGGATTGGCTATAAATAGACGTTTTGTTCTAATTAAAGTTAACCGAGCTAATCAACGCTAATGTTAGCTATCGAGCTTACCTAAACATGTGTAAACATTCGTATATACATTTATAGCTCGCTTTGGCTGCTCATTGCGCCATTTTGCCAGTGTTTGCACTTAATTGTGGGAAAATTCCATGTACCCCTTGGTTGCTAGTGTGGGCCGGGAAAAACTTCGTTTTAAGGGCTATTTGGCCCTAGCCCTTGGCACTCGCCCTCGATCCACAGGAGAATTGGGATACCCCTTCCCCTCACGTGAACGCGCAAAACTAAGGGGTAGGGCTAAGGGGGAGGGCTAAGGGGTAAGGCTAAGGGGGAGGGCTAAGGGGTGGAATCGGGATTGAGCCTAACTCTTGTCTGATCACCATCTCTGTCACATGTAATGTCTGTCTTTAAATGATCAATCACATTTTCAAATGGAATCACAAACAGAGTTTTAGACAGGCCTTTAAATGTAATTGTTTCCTTTTAGTTTGTCTCCTGTGTCACAGTCACGCTTCCTTTCTTTCCATATGTGCAAGCAGAAATTAAGTCAGAGAGTCCACAGAGCAGCAGCTGGAACATGTGGAGCTGTGGGGGCAAAAAGTACCATATCAAAGCCTTTGACATTCATTTTGTGATTGAATCAAAATGATCATTTAAAGACAAAAATAGGAACAAGGAGTTCATCATTTTGTATTTGTATTTTATTTCATGTTTTCAAAGGAGCAGTATGAAAGATTTAGGGGGATTTAGTGGCGTCTGGCAGTGAGGATGCAGATTGCAACCAGCTGAAACTTCACCCAATTAGAATTCCTTCAGTGTTCATTGTTGAGGAGTTTTTTTTTTACCGGAACCAAATTATCTGCAGAGGTCTCTTCCCTCCAAAACAAACAGACAAACAATGAAAAACACTTAATAAAGCAATATCATGTTAAAAATTTGTGTTTTTCCCCAACACTGCTTGGCCCTGTCTTGAGTCAGTCAGTACGTTTACATGCACAGTTAAGTGAAGCTACTGTACGGTTAGAGCTTGACTGTGTCATTTAATTGGACTACTGTCCTTGTCCAAGTATACAAGAACAGGAGGGAGATTGATTTATTGACCAAAGTATGTCCGAACCTGCTACAATAGGTGGCGATATGCCTCTTTTAGCTTGTTAGTATTGGACCTTTTTTTTTTTTTTTCAATTGACCTATTATGTCACAGACCAAACAATCTAGCATCGTCCAGCTGTTCCGACACTTTTTTTGAACAGGTGACCATTCTGTGTTCTGCTCCCATCAATGTATATTAAAATATTAAACTCTTTTAGCTAACACAGCATGAACTGTGTCTCCTCGTCCATCCAAAAAGGCACAATTCTGGATGTAGATTTCACCGTGTTGTCACAGGCTACTTCTTCTGTATTTAACGCTATTCGACTTCCAGGTCGAAGCCCGGGGTGAAAACTGTGGAGCATGTGTAGAGCGCCTAGGCCAGTTTGGGTTTGACTGACTGTTTACATGCAGGAGCGATTCGACTCCCAGTGGCATTATCTGGGTGTGTTAGTCCAACTTTGAGAAATTCGATTTAGTACGATTTCAGTCGGAATAACGTGTTTACACGTATTTCAAAAGTCCAGTTTTAGTCGGACTAACACAGTTAATCTGTTTTCCCTAATGTCATGTCCGTTCTGTGCTACTGTAGAAATATGGTGGTGCAACATGGCAATGTCTGTAGATGAAGACCTGCTCGTAGGTTCATCGTAGATATAAACGGTTCATTCTAAGGCAGCAAAAAACACAATTGTTATTTTCAGGCAATTACACACTTAAGAAAATGTACTTATTATATGATGTTCCATTTCTGCCAATATATCACCCTAAAGCCTACACACTGGACCTGTAATACACCACTCACAAGTTAAACACTCTCTAATAGCTTTTTTAAAAATGGATGATTATTGTGGAGACGCACTCCTTTGATGTCAGACAGTTCAATCTGTGTTTGAGGACATGAACAGCTCAGTCAGTCAGTCTGACCTCTGATCAGTTAGCACCATGTACTGTACTGTAGGATATGACTTCTTGCACTATCATCTGAATTAGGTGAACCTGATTTCCTCAAGGGATTCATGATTAACCTTCTTCTTATCAGACTGCTTTAACAGGACAGGTGGCGACTGTCCACATGTGCAACAGAACACACTGTTGATCTGTTCTCACTGATTGAATTGTTCTGTGTTCTAACTAGTTAAAGGCTCAGTTCACTCAAATTCCAGTTAGTTCTGTCTGTGAGATTTCCTGCCTCCACCAAAGTTCAGTGAAGATGGATGTAGTGCTCACAGTATAGAAAAAGGATCCACCATAACATCTCTTTCCAGAATCTGTGCACTATAGTTGTCTCTGTCAATCTGTTTGAATTCAGACTACTGTCTTTCTAAGATACGCTGTAGTCCATAGAGACAAAAATTGGACAAATAGAACATGGACATGGCCTTAATCTCTAAAAAAAAAGCCTTTACAACCTCAGACTGTTCACTATAATGTAATTCAATCAAAGTCACTGAATAAAGCGGATTGTTTGGAATGTTGGTTTCAGTCTCTGTGTTTGTTATGCTGTGTTCTTTGTCTGGTATGGCCATTTAGAGGAAACTGGAAAGGCTACTGCACTGACAGGTCAGTCAAGTCGGACTGCTTCATGATTTCAAAGTCTCTGGCATCAACTCCAGTTTGGGAGACACTACAAGTGAAAACATATTTTTTTATGCACCAGTCAAAGTTTTGAGATGTTGGGCCATTTTGTGTCCTTAACATGACCTCTTTCGACTTGTGGAAAGAAAATGTTTGGTTTACTGTTGTGGAAATGTTTGGTTTGCTGTTGTGGAAATGTTTGCAAAAAGTGCATAGTTTTTATGGATTTTTTTTTGCTATTCACCTGTTGTGTCTTATTTTTAGTCTAGAATTGTAAATGGACTTGTATTTGTACAGTATAGCACCTTACTTGTCCTCTGACCACTCACAACGCTTTTACACTACATGCCACATTCACACATTCTCACACACACATAACTAACACATAACACTGGTGGCTGAGGCTACCATACAAGGTGACCCCTGATACTCAGTGAACCATTTTTGTGCATTTACATTTGGGGTTCAGTATTTGGCTCATACTCTGACCTGTGGACTGGAGGAGCCTGGGATTAGGTAGAGTGGATGACCCGCTCTACCTCCTGAGCCACAGCCGCCCCATGTATGCATGCTGTGTATGGAATTTTACATTTGTTTTTTTCTGGTACTCTGAGCTAGAAATCTCCACCTCAGTAGCACTTAGGTACACCGAGCTTTCCTGGTTTATTCTTGCCTGGATTCTGACATTTCTTTTACGAAAGTGTTTTTTATGGCACTTGACAGTTTTTTCTGATTTATGTAGTGATAAAAAGACACATCCCAAAAAAAAATTTGTTTATGATTCTGATGGCTCTCTTTTGCAGCAAGAAATCGTGTTTGTGATTGCTCTATATGTTTTTCCCCAAACCTCCACACAGTAAGTAATGTATGAAAGTATGAAAGAACGATACAATATTTGTAATGAATTAAAGTTAAGGATGTCTGTATGTCAATATTATCTATCATAATTTGTGCTTTATCATTGTTTTTTTCAATGTCTAAGTATTTAGTTTTATTTTCATTCAGGGACAACTTGTTTATGTTGAACAGTCAATTTAAAGTAACTAATTCTGTGTGCACTGTATCCAGAAGCTGCTCACATTTGACAAATAACATTTAAAAAAAATCCCCTCTTAAAAACATTGACTCTACCATGTCAACATAATAAAATAAGAATTTGAACGTTGACTTTATCCAGTGTTCAGGTTACTGAAAATTTGTATGTAAAATAATTGGCTCAATGTAAGTAATCAGCAGGGGTGGTTCCATGATAACTTTTAGCTTTTTTTTTTTTTTTTTTTTTTCCCTTTTCACCTACAGTTGATGCATCCTGGGTTGGACGGGTCCTTCCAAGTCCCCTACCTACCAGTCAGCGAACACACATTGGTACAGGCAAGTTAGTTCCCAGGTGTGTTATTGAAGAGGCCCTGCATTCAATTGCAGCAACTCGTGTGCAAAGAATTGTGGATACTTCATGGAGGCTAAGGATACACTATAGATGTTAATAATAACATGCATACTTGAAAATTCTCTTAAGGAAGGACTAGGTAGAATTTAGAGGATCCTTGACATTGGAACAGTCCTGTTCGGGATTCGATGATGTAGCCTCCTTGAAATTCAGCCACTGAAGAATACTTCCTTGACTTTGAGAAGCACCATGTGAGTAAGAAAGTAGCAGTCAATGTAGAAAGATTGGACAGAATTAAAAGAGAAGTCTGGCGATATTCTGTACATGGTATCTCTTTAGGATATGTCCCACAGTGTACAGGGAAGTCTTCCCAGTTTACAATGTCATTTTTTGTGGTGCAAATCGACAGGTTTACAAGATGTGAGGTTAGGTAATATTGGGCTAACAATCTGGGTACTTATGGTAGGTATTTATTAGGTTCCTATTCTAAAATAACAGGGTTACACTATATCATGTATTTTCTTTTGTGATACCTTAGACTGCCTAAACATTGTCACTGATGTCATTTATATTCCTTTACCCAACTCTTCACCAAATCAAAGTACTTACCAGTGTGAACATGTGTGCAACTTGAGTTTGTTTTTGTGCATCCTAAAGTTCCCAAGCATGTTTGTAAAGGCTGAGATGGCTGGCATCCTGTCGAGTGAATAATTTTCATAAAAATGAATATATGCTCTTGAAGATGAGCAATGATCCACTCAAATTTCGTGAAGATCAAAGTAACTGTATCCCAACCCTGGTGTTCATTTGGAGGCCCTCAGGAGCCTGCATGCCGTACCCGGGCCCAATCCCTGCAGAACTTTGCAATTTTTGCTTTTTGTTTTGAGCATGTGCCAATTTTTGTGAGTTTTCAACCATACTTGGCCCCTTAAAAATATATTTGTGCAGCAAAAAAAAATAAGAATAAAATTAAAGCTGCAAGCAGTAATAAACAGGCCCTCCTATATTTGTGCATGTTGGGGATGCTGGTGGGACTCTGGATGACGTGACCATTCATTTATGCAACCATTGGACTATGTGAACAACTTGATGTTGTTTACTGCGTGGAGTGCATTGCGCTATGGCTGGAAATGACCTACTGCAAATTGTAGGAAACACACACATACATCATGTTACTGTATAGTATATTGTGTAGACCACTCCATATAAATTTCATGTAAATTGTGTGATTTTTGTCACATAAGGCTGACTTCCTGTTGTCAGTAGGTGATGCTATAAGTATATCAAGTATCTGTAGATGTTGTCAGACCTGGACTCTTATCCAGCCTTTGAAATTTTGGACCAACTGGACAATGTAAGGTCAAGCTACAATGTCTTCCTGTGTTGTCTTTAAACATTGAAATTTGCCAGGCTGCCATGACATCGCTGTTTGACGGAGAAGCAAAAGATTTGCAATTTGGCATCATGAAGGTTTTGAGTTTAAAGTGAACAACATTTAAGTGGATCAAGTTTATCTGCTAGGAGAAGTTTATAAAAATATGGAGCCTGGTTTGAGCATACATTTCCACACTAAAATGAAGTTGTCCGACTTCCTGTTAAGTTTAGAATATGGCCCAGACAAAAAATTTTTGAAGTCTATAGGTGATACATGTGCTGCCAAATCTTGTATATCTAGGTGAGATGTCCTGAGGGCTGCAATGGGCCACTATCGAGCCCCCCTGGCACACACTAGCACAACAATCATATCAGATAACACACTTTAGCACGTTCTGTAAGGTTTTTAAGCATCCTCAGCCCCTCAAGATGTTATTTCTTGCATCGAACTTTTGTTTGTGTTCCTCAAAATTCTCCACATGTATCCTCTTAAAGTGGGTTTTAAAATTTCCCTCAGACATCTCATCATCCAGAGGCAGGTCACTTCTTGACTAATAAATACTTGCAACTATTTTTACTTTATTTGCAGTGCTGAGGGAATATGGGCTGGTCCCTGAAGTGAGTTTTTGGAAACAAGGTTCACAAACTCATGTTGAATTGGTTCAGGATTTAGAGATCACTCTCTCTCCTCTCCTCTCCTCAGTTAATTCTTATTGAAACTGAATGTAAATGAGTCACACACTGATTCTTTTCATGTGCCATTATGGAAAATATGCAGGAACTATTAACTTGTATTATTTGGAGCCTCCCTGTGTACAGGTGCTGACATGAGCAGTCTTCCCATTCACACCTATTTCCTAACCAGTGATGACACAGTCATGACTCATGACACATTAATTTAGGACAGAAGTTTCTGGATCAGTGTAAGCGGGTTTGATTGTATTACATTATATAGATCAATTAAAAGATGGCATTTTCTTTTCACTAGTAAACAGTGTTGGGGACTGAGGGTCACTGAAAATGTCAGTGTGGGATGGAATGAACAGGAAACCAAACTGCACCGTGGAACTGAATGGGGAACTAACCAGCTGAGGACTGATGAGTGTCAAGCTAGGGATATTATCGGAAATAATGCTTTTGCCATCAATGTTGAGCAGAATCATAATGTAGAGCCTACAAAATACACGTCGGTGAGGTTTATGTTGAAATTTTTGTCCGGAAGTTGTGTATAATGTGTAGTTTGACACGGGGCACGAGCTGACTCCTCTTTGCCACGTTTCACTAAATGACGTAATCCCTCTCCGGGCTTGACAGGTCGTTGTTGCGGTAACGACATTCACTCAGTGAGAGGGTAATCCAGATATCCAAACGCATCTCCTGTTTATTCGCTTTAACAGTCTGATTTCAAAGACAGGGTATCCGAAAAACTAAGTCGCGTATTTTGTGTTATTCTTGACTTGGCTAACCAGCTGGCTAATGTTAGCTGTTTCCTGGTTGGAGTTGCAGCCATTTTGGATTTTTACAGAGAAACAGCTAGCCGGTCGTGGCTTTGGGAGTAGTGTAAGCTAGCCACCGCTCCCGTTTTCATCACTAAACACTGCTGTTTATCTACAGACAAGCAAAGGGAGACGTTTCACGAGGGGGGATACACTATAGAACGAGTCAACAATGAATCCCGAATAGTAAGTATCGCACTTAAGAATGCTGAGTTACATTCTGGCTAGCTAACTAATGGTATCTATATGCTAACAAGTAAGTTAGCGTTTACAAATAACTTGAAATCAAGTAAGTTAGCGGCTAACATCAGCTGACAATAGTCTTAATGTTCACCTGTGTGTGTCTGGGATACTGTGAACATTTCCCAGGGATTATCAGCAAAATGTTGGTGTTAACACGTAATAGGCGATCAATAACTGAGAACAAACAAAGTGCTCCTTATATGCTTGTCAACATTTGATAGCCAGCTGTTGGGCCAGCGGCAGTAGCTTTAGTGACTGGTTTCAATTCGCTGCGTTTCACGCTGAGATGTAACATTGATGTAAAATACAGGTCAAAGGCGCATTGAAGAATTTTGACTGCTATCGGTAACTGTACCGCGAATCCCTCTGTCTTTGCGCTAATAGTTGTTTTCGTTTTGATATCTCAACGCAACACTATAACCGATGACATCACATAGCTAGGATCAGCTAATTGAACTCACAAAATCATCATGAAAACGACTCGACAATGAGGGTTTCCTTGATTACATTTTTGAGAAACGTCATAAGTTGCTGATGGTTATACTTCAGTCTGCGTGTCATTGTAATAGCCTACTTATTTCCTTGCTGCTATTAGCAACCATATACTGTAGCGGCAGTCATCTGTTGTTTACGTCCAGTTAATTGGGTTTACGCTGTACCTGGTGTTGAGCATGACTCAGTTGTCAGTCATATGGTCTAGTAATGCTGAAGCAACGTCTCAGTCATGTGTAGGTCACATGCTATATGACAAGCCCTCTATTTCACCACAGCAGCCTTGAGCAATCAGTTACTTCAGCTGTCTTTGGTTTTACATTAATACGTGTAGACATGAGTGGACTGTAGAATTTTTGGAGTAGTTTTCCTTGTTTGGCAAGCTGTTACTGTGTAATCCTTTTATCTTGTTATTAATCTAAGTAGTGGTATTCAATCCCCATTTTATTCTGCGGACTGCCTAATCATGTATTCATGATTCACCTTCTTAGATACTCCAAGGCAAGGTCTAATCAGAATCACAACTAAAAAAGGAGGCATATTTAGACCAAATTTTGGTTTAGAGTAAAATTCAGTATGTTGAATACAAAACTTCTCATTTAAATGAAAAATAAATCTCTTACAGGCCCTGCAGGAATTTCTTTTCAACTTTTCTGTTTGAAATGGATACCACAGTGAATAGGCGAGAGTTAGGAGATTAATGGTGGAATTGGCAGGTTTTTAGTTCAGAGAAACCTGTTGTAACTAGCAAGGTAGCACAGTTGACTCTTTGCCTAGTTTAGCCCCCAGATTTTTTCAAAGTCTTGTTTTTGGTCATCGTGGTGTTGTGTTGAGTGGTGAAAGGTCAGCCGAGCATTGTCCACAGCAAGGCTTAATGAAGAGGGATTTACTAAACTTTATTACATTGAGATGGAGGAACTGGGACACTCCTGGGAGACTTGATAATACTCAGACTAACATGCTCAGCTAATGTGTCAGAATTAAGTTGTAAAATATTGCTTTTCCTCTACTATTGGTGCAGTATTAGTAGGTTCACTGCTAAGTGCTGCTTTTACTACAATACATAGACTGTTAGTTTTGAGTTGTTACCAATATCTCACCTGCTTTTTAAGCATTAGGCTGCATATGAATAAGACATACCAAGTTTCTTTGCAGGGATTTATTTGTGACCAGGACAGCAGCATCTTTCTTAAACAAAGAAGTAGCCTATTTTCCTCTGCTACAACTCAGGCAGTCCATGGCCTTACTTGGGGTTTCACACCTGGGGATGTTACATGCAGGAGAAGTCCTTGAAATTGAAAGAAAAGAGATCTATTTATTATTTTACCAGGGCAGTGGATCTCTGCTTTGACTTTTTGGGAGTGTGGTGCTGCAGAGAATCAGTAGGAAAAGGAAGAAACAGAAAAATGGCGGAACATTAGTGGGTCAGTGACAAACCAAAGATTAGACAGGCTAAGCAGTCTATTTGAAATGTGTATAGCTGCACACTTTGATATTGCTGACTGTGTTCTAGGGAAGTGAAGGATTATCATAATATTGCCTAATTTTATACAAGTGCGTAATTGTTAGTGATGCAGGGTGTAGTTTAGACTTGAATGGTGGCCGCAGACTGTGGAGACCCACCTTGTTGCATGACAGTGTGAAGGTGGTCATTGAGCTGGATAATCTCAGTGTAATAGTAGAATGCCCTGCCTTTAGTACGCAAGTTGTCCTATGCCTTAACAATGCTTTTTGTTAATGAAATCTGAGCATCAGTCACATCCCACAGCAAACTACACTGAAAATACTTTATGGCCTAGTCCACATGTAGGCCTACATGAGTATTTACAGGGTTTTTCCTTCTTCATTCTCCCTCAAAAAATAAATGAATCCCATCCACCCAGACACTGTTTAAAAATGAATTTCTGTCCAAATGAAAAGACAAAATTACAGTCCAAATGCTGTCAAGAGCATGCCAAACCAATAGGCAGTGTTATATTTAGGGTGGGGTATCGTTTGGATTTTAAGGATTCTGATTCTGCTTATCGATTCTGATCCTAATGCCTGGCTCACACTACACGATATCAGCCCGATTATAGCCCGACACGGCAACGTACGGTGTCGGCATGGATCATGAACGGCAATCAGTGTTGTATGCAATGATTCATTGTTTCATCGTGTGTCATAGTTAACGACAACTGAAGACACATCTGGAACACCTCTTGTCCTTCCAACAGAAAGTCTAGCATGTTTGAACCGGGCATAAGGATTCTTGATTTCAGATCTTTTAGGGACGGGGTCAAAGAAGGTGATGTGTTTATTTAACAGAAAAATATTTATTTTTTAAAACACAATTAATATTCACAAGTCACTTCATGCAGTTTATCAAACCTGTAAATTAATGTCATACAGTTTGATTTGGTTGCTGTTGTTGAATAATATGATCAGGGATGCACAATATTGGATCTTTTGCCAAAAGCCGATATGCCGATATGTAACATCTCATTTGACTGATAACCCATACCGATATCGATTTATATCCACTTTTTCCCCACTTAATTTTAGCGATCATCAAGTGTCCTCTGTAGTAGAATGAACATCATATTATGTATGCATACTCTGATCGTGATGGCCCACCAGCAGATTGAGTCATGAAATAGAATGCTTTTCAATGGAGGAAATATTCATTCATTGTGCAAACTAAAGGCCTTTGCCTTGAACAGGTTCAATTTTCTGCATTTTTCGCATCTGTCAGAAGCCTTAAGAGAGCTGTTTGACCAAGGCTTGGTGAAGAAAATGTGGCGGTGGAACACAGCTGTGATAAGACAGAGGAACGGGGTGCACAGAATCATTTCATAACTCTGATAGGTCACGTTCAGCAGGTCAGATAGTAATATTCAAGTGGATGATGATGAAGAGGAGGAGGATGTGAATGGCACACAGAATGTGGAGACAGAGAGGCTCCTTCATGCAGCTGCAGTGCCAAATTCAAGACAAGGAGGGAGTGGTGACAGCCAGATAGGTAACCCTAGTGGAGAGAGGCAGAGGAAGAAATGCGTCTTTTCATTTTGTCACGTGTTGTGAATTTTCAATACCGATGACGTGCCAATATTGTTGTGCATCCCTAAATATGATTCAATAATAATCTGTCCATTCTTTTTTCATTCATTGTACTAATGGGCTTCTTTGCCTGGGTTGCCCAGAGTGTGTCTGTCTCACAGTCTCGGGTATGTGAGTGGAGTGCACCACACAAGGATAGACGCAGGCATGCTTGCTTACTTCACTGATGATATATCAATCCTAAAACAACATATGAGTTCGAGAGTGAGAGTGAGAGTGAGAGTGAGAGTGAGTGGTTGGGCTGACAGCAAACAGGTGTGAGTGATCTGGGCAGAGAAGAAAACCTGCGGTTCATGGGGCACGGCCTTACCCAGACTTGTGTGCTTGGAAATCTAATGAAACTTTCCTTAGTGCCTAGACAAACAAAAACTAAATGTATCACTTGGTGCTAGTCCAGAAAGAGCGCCAGTTTGTAATTGTTTAGGATTCGATAAGCAGTAATGAAATTCAAGGGTTAAAATCCAGGTGAAGTTGTTGTTCAATAGTATAGTAAAATGAACTATTGAGCTGTAACATAGGCTCAATAAACAAAGATCAGACTGGAGACAAGAGATAACAACATGTGTCTCTAATCTGTTGTCCCTGGTCCTTTCAGTTGGCTTCGATGTCCACTCACATGATCACGCGGCTTCCTGCGTTGCCTTCGGAAAATATGCCTGAGCTCAGCAGGATTCATTGTCCTGAGTGTTTCCTTTTCTTGTAAAATGCAGACCTTTCAGGCACGCTTTCAAATGATGTAATGACACTCATGCTGATGAGCATAGTTTAATCTAATCATTGGTGATTGTCTTGCATCATCTTACTGAAATCATTAAATCAAAGAACTAGAAGGTTTAAGTAGTACATGACGCATCACTGCCAAGAATGAGCAGTGTGAGATCTTGAATCAGACGTGTGTTCCCAGGGCTTTACTTCCAAACCCATTTATATGTAATGGGTCATCTATAACCCACTTTCTTGGTAAACAATTTATGAATATCCTTTAACTAAACTTTTCTTTTTTTACCTTTCCCTCACAGTGACTATTTATTCAAGCTGCTCCTGATTGGTGACTCTGGTGTTGGAAAGTCTTGCCTTCTTCTCCGGTTTGCAGTAAGTTTCTCCAAAATAGAGCATACAGTATCTTTGTATTAACCCAGTTTCCCTTAAAACAGTTCAGCATTCAGTCTTACAGCATTTCAGTCTTAACTGTGTGGTCATTTCATGCAGACTGTTTAAAGCTGTCTTCAGTTGGACAACAACATCATAACTAACTTAACTGGGTTTCTTATTAACTCAGTAAGAAACTGCGTTATTGTGAACAGGATGTGATGCTTTACATGTGCAGACTTAAGCAGTTGACTTCATTCATTCACTCTCCCAGTTTGTATTGAAACCTTCACTGTACCAACACCTTCAGTTAGGGCTTGGCGACATATAAATATTATATTGATATCGTCACACGAGACTAGATTTGGTCTGAGATATTGGTTATAGTAATATCCTAAGTAATGTCTTGTCCTGGTTTTAAAGGCTGCATCACAGTGATGTAATTTTCTGAGCTAACCAGATTGTTCTAGCTGTTCTTTACCCACATAGTCATCATATCCACATTACTGGTAATCGTTTAGGAAAAATCTCATTGTGCAAATAATTTGGGAAAGCACCAATAGTCAACCATACAATACCATCACAATATCAGTATTGAAGTATTTGGTCAAAAATATCAGGATTTCCAATTTTCTCCATTTCGCACAGCCCTGCCTTCAGGGTTCTACAGTGCACGTATTTTACTCGCATTTAGCCATAAAAACAGATATGTGTGAACCGGAAAAATCATTTACAAGCACAGTGTGCAAGCTAAGTTTACAACCTACAGTAACCCCCTCTCCCCCTTAATGCTCTTGCAACACTTAATTTTAAAAGCTGTGTTTCAACACTTAGGTGTTTTTAAAAAGCTGTGTCATTGTTTTAAAAGCTGTTTTTAAGGTGTACATATATTTTCAAAAAATCAGTTTCAATGTTTTAACAAGGTTTGTAGGGCCTTCTGCTTTCCACAATGCTGAAAATGCAAACAGAATGGTGTAAGTAAAATGCAGAATATCATGGAATTTGCCAAAATGCGAATGCCATTTATAAAAATAAAAAAACTGTGCACTGTATTTGGGCATCATTTACGGGTTGGTGTTTCACCGAGAACAGAGCTCAGCTCCTCTACACACACCAAGGCTGGTAAAATTAAAAAAAAAAAAAAAAATTATATATATATATATATATATATTTATATAAATATATAAATATGTATTTCATCCAGACGTTGCTTTTCGAGCTATGTACATCTGCTCTACTTGGAGACTTGATTTTGCTTGTTTTGTCTCCAACTTCAGTGGCAGCTGGTTTGTCCCCCTGTGCTTCTTGGTGAGCCAAAGGCACCATCTGATGTTTCTGCATCAAGCTAGCCACCACCCGCATCTCTGTGGTCAAACTAGTTGGCGCTAAACTTGAAGTACCCGTTTATTCTAAACTGTAAATGCATTGAAGTGGCTCAAGATTGCGATGGGCATTGTAAGTAATTTCTATATTCGAGTACTCACATTAAATGATTATGGAGTGCTCCAGTAGTTGCACAAAAAAAAAAAACCTAAATGAAATGAGATTTAACTTATTTTAAATAGAAAAAAAAAGAAAAGTCATGTTCACATATGGGAGGAATTATACATATATTCCCAGGAATTATAAAATGTGTGTGTCCTTTTATAAATTAAGAAATCTCACTAACTTGTGTGGGAAATTACTTTTATTCTCTGATGTTTGGTTGCCGCAAAACCAAATCCTGACAATGAACGTTATTGTTGGACCATGCAGTCATGTGGGAGAGACTCTTTGAGAAGCTACATCATCCATAAAAGGGAGGAATTCAACTAACACCTAAATTGAGAGCAGAGCAATATGAAGCTCAGATGGCAAGCACCTTATTTTACAAAAGGATGGAATGTTTCATTACTTTCTTTGATTTAAGAACAAGTGTTACATCAAATTCTTTAAAATTTGTTTGTTTTCTTACCGAATTCATCCACCTCATGATTATACAGACTTTTTGAAGACAAAATGTGTGAAAATCATGAAACACATTAGTCAGAAAAAGTAAAACAAAGAACATGGAATTTCAGAAAAATAAAACGGAATCTGGAAAATATTAAAACAGTTTTAATAGGGCCTTAATGCTTATCAATATATTAAGGCCTTCGCCTACATTATAATTGCGCACAAGTAGAAGGAGCATGCGCACACATGCAAGCACGTATAAATATGTATGTAATATATTGTTTGTTAATAAACTCTGTTACTTGTACATTTTTCACTGTGCTCCTAAATTTCTTTGTGTATTCCTTTGGAACAAAAAGTTATCACAGAGCCCTGACCTTGGCTACTGATTGTGTGTATGTGTGTGTGTGTAAATAGTTAAGCAGGAAGTGAATAGGATGTGTGAGCCATCTAACTCTTGACTCTTTCTCTTTGCAGGATGACACATACACAGAAAGTTACATTAGCACTATTGGTGTGGACTTCAAAATACGAACCATAGAACTAGATGGAAAGACCATTAAACTTCAGATTGTAAGTAACATACTACTTCACTTTCATATTAACATACTTCATTTATCATGGATCCCTCAGAAAGTCAGTTTTTCAGGACAGGAGAACTTTTTCTCCATCACACATCTGTATAGCTGGATAAATTAAAGGATAAGTCTGCCATTATTCTATTTTTTTTATTGTCAACAAAGCCCATTGAAGACCCAAAGCAACCACATGTTGGTCTGCCTCTCAATACTTTTTACTTCTCTACCTCTTCTGTGGCCCTCAACCCAAGCCCATTGATTCCTACTGAAATGTTACTCAAACAGGAGGAAATTGTGTATTTGTTGGGATCTTTTTTCAGTGGCAGATTAATACACATTTGTTTCTGTAGAGAGTGTTTGGTGGAGCAGGAAAGTGCATTAGGGGTCGAGTCAAAATAAACCTAAGTGTGTGTTTAAGGTAATGAAGGAACATGTCACCTAGTGCAACAGTGTTGCTCACTCATGTGTTTTTGATCGTTTTTATCGACGATGGAGCTCTTTAGATCAGAATGGCAAATAAAGGTATTTTGCAAAAACGTCAAGGCCATGCCTTTTTTTAGGGATAGAAAACCATAAATCCTATGATGTCAAAGCAATATGAAGTGTGTTTGGATTAGAATTTCAACACATTTATATGCTTATTTCTTGTTGTTTCTCTTCAAACAAACATTTGTTTTCGAGACATGTCTGATTATCAGGGGTGCAAATGTGTCACCTTTTCGCAAAAATCACTGTTTGGAATCCAAAATAAGTAATTTTAGAACACTAGCCATCATAATTTGGATGTAACGTTTGCATGATATTGGATTTTTAGCCGATATTCGATATGCCGATATGTAACAACTCATTTGACTGATAACCAATACCAATATTGATATATCCAATTTTTTCCCCCACCTAATTTTGGTAATCACGAAGTGTCTTCTGTCGTGGAATTAACATCATATTATGCATGCATACTCGTATCATGATTGCCCACTAGCAGATGGAGACATGAACTACAATACTATCCAATGTAGGTATTATTCATTGATTGTGCAAAATAAGGAAAAGCGTGTTGGCCACTTCATTTTAAAGCCAATATTGGCCTGTACCAATTACGCACCAATATTATCAGTATGTTGGGTGATTCCAATAGTTCATTTTAAAGTTAATATCTGCCCATATCCATGAAGTGCCGATATTATCATGCATCCCTAGTTTGGCGTTAACATTTTTTTGAGTGTAAGGTTAGCTAGTGTTCTTGTTATTACAAATTCCACTGTATAAGGTTACTGACAATAGGCTCTGGGACTAATCATTTAGCGTTACCATTAATGTTAATGTTAGCCCCTTATGGTTCCATTTTCTTAATGCTAAGACAATATTAGCAATGCTATTGGTGTACACATTTAGCTACAATGGACCAACATTACTGATGATGTAGTTTAACAGAACAGTTATTGCAGGAGCCTTACTATGCTCCTTGATATGGGGGCAAGTGCCAAACTCACTGAAAACGACAGGCGCTGAATTGAAATTACCTTGTAACAGTTTTTTTAGTTGTAGTGGTGGTTAAATCAATTTGTGTCTTTTAATTGATCAAACAGCAGTTGCAATAGCTTCTTATGTTACAGCGGAATTCTGTGCCCAAAAGGGGAACGCATCCTTGACATTGACGCAATATATCAACCTTTCACACACACACACACACACACACACACACACACACACACACTTGTTAGTAGATACAATTATTGTCATTTGGCTTAAAATATGAAATTTGTTGACCAGGAGAAAAATGTAGAATATTTACAGCCTTTTTGAGAATACGTTTCCAAGATTTTCAATTACCATTTCATTGTCATTCTACAATGCAGATTTGCACAACAAAATATGTAGCAGATCTACTCCCAAAAATAAGCTTTTCTGTCTTTGTTGTGATAGTAGACAGTAGCCTAGCTAAAGAAGGGGCAGTGACCAGTCACCAGCACCTTTCTGAAAAGTTCAGAGCTTTTCAACAAGAAGTACTCAGAGTGGCCAAACAAAAAAGGCGGAGAGCTCTGAAAAAAGAAAGAAAAGAAAAGCTTTTTCTGTATGCAGCAGCATGCAGCTACATGTGCTCTCTCCTCATGGGGAACAATTGAGAAAAACAAAATACAACAATAAACGCTATGTAGACGCAACGCCAAATACTTGTGTTTTGTCTCTTGTGAATTTGTTTTGCTGGTCAATGACTTCTATCAGCAGCAGCTCAGCTCTGACGTTTTTCTTTTTACACAAATGCTGTCTTTTACCACATACCCTGTGAAATGTTACTTATGTAACGCTTTACGGGGCACACCTGTAGGAGAGACTCTCCACTGTACGAGGGAGCCATTATTGACTCCTCTTTGTCATTATGCTGTTTTAAAGAGCTACCAAATACGGTCTTATTCAAGCTGAAACAGAAGAACCTGCCCAACAGTAGTAAGATGTAGACAGCCAAGCTCTGTTATTCTGTGTTTATTTTCCTGATATTGGAACCTTGTGCTCAATAAGACACTTTATTAACCTCAAATCAGTTGATGGAAACACTTGACTTTCTATTTGTTGTGTTGTAACACTGGATTTAAATTCCCTTTATTTTGGAAAATAACGGTTATGCGAAATGGTTGCTGTCAGCTCAAGTAATCAAAATTAGGCCACAGGCCCAGTGATAACATTGTATCACATTTGACCATTAAAAGCTATAAGTGTGTTGTTGCTTTTGTCTTTGTCAGTGTCATCTGTCAAAGCCAGCCATCAACTGTATTCTTCTTTCTCCTTTGACAGTGGGATACGGCGGGTCAGGAGAGGTTTCGTACAATCACATCCAGCTACTACAGAGGTGCTCATGGTATCATTGTAGTGTACGATGTCACGGACCAGGTTAGTATGACATCACACCATTTCATACCTTTGAAAATTATTTATTCATGCACTAGGATATAAGATTTTGCCTGAAAAGCACATTTTCATTTGTTCATTAATGGTTGAACTTCCTACAATGGTGAGACAGAATCTTATTGGTCAGTTTCTAATGAATTCTAATTTTGCTGCACAAGACGTATTATGACGAGATGCCAGGTCTGTATTAGGTCAAATCTCTTTCTAAGGTTGGGCTTGAGGCTCTATGTTTTCACAAGAATGAATAATTCAGCAGTTGGATGTTGTTTGATAACACATGATATATATAATTTTGCAAGATCTATAAAGCATGATGTAATTTGATAGCGTTTAAATATAAAGGAGTGAAGTTTCTAGACCCTGGCTAACTTTGCTTGAAGGTGTCTGCCATGTTTAATAAATCTGGTCCATACATGCAGACACGTGGTAGCTGGGAAAGCTCATTGTGTCCACTGGGTCCTTGTGCCAAAACAACTGACTCTGACTCTCTACCACAAGAAGCTCTTACAAACCAGGAAGAAGTTATTTTTTTAATTTTACATTCAAGAGCTGGTTTAATATGTGGTGGTGGAACTAGAAGAGACTCCCCCTGAAACCATTTGAGATGATTCAGTTTAAACAAAGTGATGTACAGTTAATGTTATCCAGAGCCAACAATTTGGAAATGGAACAAAAGAGCATGTCAACACCTGCTGTGGACTTCAGTTCAGACATACATGTAATATATAATATGTAATATATTGTCGCTGATGGGCAGAAGCCTTATATCTCCATATTTCATCTTTTTTTTTTTTTTTTTTTTTTTATGCCATCAATAGCCGTGGACAGAGGCATTATGTTTTCGGGTTGTCCGTCAGTCCCATCCTTGGGAACACAATATCTCAAAAACACCTCAAGGGAAGTTCTTCAAATTTGGCATCAATGTCCACCTGGACTCATCGATGAACCAAAAAGTTTTTGGTAGTCATAGGCCAAAGGTCAAGGTCACTGTGACCTTGTTCATCTCATTCTTGTTAACATGATATCTCAAGAAGACCACAAGGAAATTTGGCAAATTTGGCACAAATGTTCACTCGTACTCAACAGTGAAGTGATAGGATTTCAGTGGTCAAAAGCCAAGGTCAGTGTGACGTTACAAAATATATTTTTGGTTGTATTTCAAGAATTCATATGCTAAGTTTCTCGTGGGATAAAAAAAATGAAGTGATCACATTTTATATCCAAAAGGTCAAAGGTCAACTTCACTGTGACATCATAATGTTCTGCGTAAAACATTTTTCTGGCCATTATTGAATGTCATATCTCAGGAACAGAAAGAGAGACATTTTGTCAGATACTGAGTTGGTGTCACTAATCTTGCGTGTCCACCTTGAAGCTTTGCTAATTGTATAGATCATCTGTGCCGTCCGGGAGACAGTAAGTGTGAAGCATTCATGTTTTCACAGATATGGATGTAAACTGTAAGAGAAACTTTACTGGTGCACGGAGGCATACAACTGGGTAGGGCTGCACGGTATATGCGGTAGACGGTAGAAATGATATAAATTTGGCCACGGTAGAGATTTGCGCTCTACCGTCCTATCGTCGATGACATCATCGCACCTGCCTCAGTGTGAAAATGGCTGCGAGCACAGAGACAGCGGAGCAAGAGGAGCTGGTTCACGTCCGTGATTTTTTACATCTTTATGTTAGTTTTACAAATATTTAACCAATAAAAAGTATTTAAAAGAGCTCATGACTAAATCTTGTAACTCCATTGGACCCTCAGTCTGTCAGCAAAACCTCATAACTCCACCCACCTCCACTGAATGAAGTGGCAAAATAAAGCATTTTTGGTGCCTCACACAGCGGCTGAGGGTAAACAGTGGCGACACAATTTGTCTACATATTGGAAGTTTGAAGTTTGCCCAAACTGTAAAAATGAAAGCTCTTCACCGTTGAATGGATCCATAACCTCTGCTCAGAGTTGATTATTCTGTACTGTTTCTGATTTGCGTTCATGTGTCGTTTTCTGTTCTAGCTATATTTCAAACTGACTTCCAGACAAAAAAGGGCCAACAACAGTGAACACTGGTCTTAAAATACATCCATATTGTGTAAAAAGTCTTACATTTGACTCTGTCAAAGCCGCTGATGTCCTGTGGCAGATTTAGCTCAGTCCTAATGTTTAACCGTTTCCTGTCTCAGGAGTCCTTCAACAATGTCAAACAGTGGCTACAGGAGATTGACCGCTACGCCAGTGAAAATGTCAACAAGCTATTGGTTGGGAACAAGTGTGACCTGACGACAAAGAAGGTGGTGGATTACACAACAGCAAAGGTAAGGCACCTGGGTGTTTATGAGAGGTGGAGCTGAATCTGTTATTCTGCAAAGCACAAGTATTACATTTTTTACAAATCTTTACATCAGAAATATTTGTAAAATTGATTTGTTTACTGTGGTATTCACCCAATCCCTTACATGTACCACATCAACAACACAGCCATGTCTTATATTACAATCAAGTGTTCATAATTATTATAAATTTATATTAAGAACACAAATATAAACACTTTAATATCCTAAATGAGGTGTAATTAAAAGAGCAAAACAGGATTGCTGTGCATATTTCCACTTAAGTTTGGATAAAATACAAATACTTTGGCTCGTTGCACATCCTTTAGTATTTACTCCCTCACACAGAAGCAGTTGCATATGAACATTTTCATATTTAAAAGTTTTTGTTGTGGATTATTTTCTGTACTGTATCATACCTGCTGGTAAGGGAGTTGGTGTCTTTGCATTAGTATAACATGTTGGAGATTATTGAAAGATGGCTTATTTAAGTAAGCCAAAAAATGTGTTATTCTTGAAACCTCTCTCTTAAAATAAGAAAGTCAAATAGGCCAGTCCCAGCTGAGGGTCTGGAATAGAGCTCTGATTGGGCCCAAAAAAGCAAGCCTGACTGTACATCAACCTACACAGTTTTGTCCAAAATATTAAAACATTTATTACAAGCTAAGGGCTAGGAGTGGGGGAAAAAATCAATACAGCAAACTATCACGATACTTTTGAATTATAGAAATTATAATTTTACAATTACAAATTAAACTGTGGGTAGCCTAATAGAAGAATATCATCTATTGCTTTTTCAGTCCACTACATATATTTTGCTGCAAATAAAATGGCTGAAGTAAAATAAACAGACTGAAAACTTATTCCTATTAGATAATACAGATGTTGACAGAGTTTTCCTTTGTGGACGTAATTTACAGTTGAAAAAGGTAATAAATCACAATATATTTTATCTAAATACTCAGCATATAGTAGCACGTTTAAAATCTGAATAATTTTGTTTTGTGATCATGGATTCTCCGGTGATTCCTAACCCTACTAAGGGCTGATGTGTTTCCTGGCACAACTTCTACCTCTCCTCTGCCTTATTTCAATAGTCTGTCATCTCGTGCACGACAGGTTCAGCACAATGGGCTGTGTCCCTCATCTAGTGCGAACGGCAGTCCATGGCAATGCTGCACGCAGATGATGAATAGCGCTCTTCACTGCATGTTATGCATATTTCTCAAACTGCTGGGGAGGCAAAGGCAAATACTGCAAACCAATTTGCCTTGAATCCCTTCTATCTCTCTTTTTCAACCTTTTGCGTGCGCGATCTATCTCTCTTCCCTGGTTCTCCACTTGTTCCATTGCTCCATCACTTTCCCTCTCTCAGTCACAGTTTCCCCCCTCTTTCTCCCCTATTCCCTCTTGATTCAGTTCATTAAAACTCCTGCCTTTTACCTTTTACATAGGGGAGCTGCCAGTTTCATTTAAAAAAAAAACAAAAAAAAACAACAACACACCTGTAAATTGGCGAGAACCTGACCCGAGGCTTGAATCTGGCCCAATTGGGCTCGGGCAGTAAAATCAGAGCTCTGATCCAGAGGGAGTCCTCTCAGGGAAGGCTAGGTTTAACCAGTAGGCTTGGGTGGTAACTATTTTTTCATACCTTCCTGGAATTTCACTGGGGTATACAGTTTATGACTGTATTAGTGCGCAGTGCTATGTGCAACATCCTCATTACAGTCTCTTCAGTATGAGGGTAATAGAAAGATGATGGTCTTTAATCGTGATGGTATTGAAAATCCTTCTGTCTGGATTTGTTAATACCCTGGTATCCTGTAATACTTGATACTGCTCAGGCGTAATGACCAAGAGTCACAGCCAGCTCCTACCTCTATCATTAAGTAATTGCTGCTCAGTTTTTTCAAAGTATTATAGACTGTTTTAGCAGCACAAAAAACACCACACTATAGTACAATATTATTTGACAGGGTTAACATTAAGCTTCTCTTTGTCCTACATTGTGTTGACTGAGATCAAATTGGCCCATACGCCAGCTCTTTCTCATCCCTGTTAAGTCATGTGATGTTTAGTATGTTATTTTTTCACCATTTCATGATATTTTGCTCTGCACTAATACAATAATTTGTGAAAAGAACCTCAGAACGGCAAAAAAATGCCTGAACTTCTGCGCTTTGTTCTTCCCTATTTTGTCCAGGAGTTTGCAGACTCTCTGGGCATTCCCTTTTTGGAAACCAGCGCCAAGAATGCCACCAATGTGGAGCAGGCCTTCATGACCATGGCTGCTGAAATCAAGAAGAGGATGGGCCCCGGGGCCACAGCCGGAGGAGGGGAGAAGCCCAACGTGAAGCTGACCCCCGGCACCACTGTCAAGCCTTCATCAGGAGGATGCTGCTGAAAGAGAAACCACTTACACTTTGCCCCGTCATCCTGCCCTCCTCCTCGTCTGCAGGCCCATCAGCCTGGCCGCCATCCCCCTCCAACTCCACTGTGTCCCAGCAAAGCCCCCACCACAAGTAGACAGGACAGGGGAGACATGGTTCACATGTCTATGTGAGAACAAGATGAAGTTGCCTGTATTTGTACTGTACATAGTATAGCCGCACTACCAAAAACAAATAAAGCATCCTTCTTGTCATACTGTCCTGTTATTGATGACTAATTCTACAGATAGGTGATCATTCAACCCGGCCCTGACTCCCCATCACCCCCGATTTCAGACCTCTCAGAGACTATTCTTTTATTTGGCCCTCTGAAGGCAGGTTCCTGAGAAGTAAGTGTGTGTGTGTGTGTGTGTGTGTGTGTGTGTGTGTGTGTGTGTGTGTGTGTGTGTGTGTGTGTTTTTCTCTGCATTCCTTCAGCGGGGTTGGTAAATTAATCAGTTTCATTAAGGTTTCTGTTTGTATGGACCTGTTCTGTTTCTTTTTTTCCTTCAATGATTATTTTTGCTGTTTCTATCAGCATGTGTGTCTGTCTTTTCAGTCTGTCCCCATTTGAAGGTGTTTTTTATTTTTCTCACCAACCTCTGCACTGCAGTGTCTCACTGTCCAGCATCTTAAAGTCCAGTGCAACAATATATGTATATGTACATAAAGATTATGTACATACATATATAAAATCTGATTGCCAGTTCTGTAGTGTTCAGTTACTTCTTGGGATAGTCTTGACTCTTTATCTCTGCATTAAATTTGTGGCTGAAGACAACTGTAAGTTTGTTGCTCAACATGTAACACTTAAACTGAAAATAAATATTGTACGACCAGACTGTATGAAATGGGAGGACCTGTCTGCAATTCTTGGTGAGATGTGTAGAAAACCTGTTTGAATTATTTATTCTACATTCATTTGGCATATCTACTGCCAGTTACATAGGGTCTGTTTGCAAATTGCTGTGTAATCTCAGTACAGAATTGCATATATAAAAATACAATGTTCTCTTGTTTTCATAATAAAGGCAACTGAATTCAGTTTGAAAGGAACTCTGGGACTAGTGTTCTCTGTATGAATAAGAATGTTAGGACAGAGCTCTATAGGTATGTGGACATACTAGGCACATGTATGTGGACATACTCATTAGCTAGTTAACCTCAATCATAAACTGCAAGAGTGTGGCCCAGTTTCTACTTAAAGCAAGTCAGCAGATTTCACAGGAAATCCCACCAAGTTCCAGCCTACATAACTGACAGAGAGAACAGCCTGAATCACCGGAGCGTCCGTTAACGTCAGGAGAGAGGAAGCATCTGAGCCAGCACTTCTCTAAAACATGACATCTCAAATGTTGCATGGAACATGCCACCAAAGAAACACACTAACACCCATGTGATCAGACTTCTCTGAAACCTTTGACACAAGTATGATTCACCCAGTGTTCAACTGTCTACGGAGAACACGCTGGTGGAAGTGAAACCTGTCATGATTACAATTATTCTTACATTTGGAATGTACATATAGTCAAATGGTGGCCAAGAAGAGATACTTCTTACGTATTATTTAAAGGACAAGTATATATATTACAACAACTGCAATTCCAATTATAGCTGCTGCGCAGCGATGGGTCGGTCTGGGCATTTTTAGGCAATTCTGAGCAACAAGCAGAAGAATTGGAAGACATTTAGGAATTTAGCAACACAACCTGCCTTGAGCAGAGGCTGAGGCTTGAACTCACAACATCTGAGACTAAGAATCAATTTCTATCTCACTGAGCTAAATAGTCAGTGACAATTCATGTGTAGCTTCACAAACTGACTAAGCGAGACGTGCAGGTTTAGCAGCCGTCCATGCATGGAAAAGCAGATTTCAAACCACTGTAAAAAATTCAGTTATCGAAACAAAAATCTGAAAATACACATAATGCATCTAGACAGCATGGAGATGTTGGTAATTTATTTTAACAATCATTGATTTGCTCTATAAGTGAAAAACTTATGTTTAAAATTGCCATTTTTACATTGACTCCAATTGTTCACATTAGAGCAAAATTCAAAATGCTGTCAAAAATTCAGTTTTTGAGATAAAATTCTGAAATTTGCCACACATCATCTACCATGACTCTAGAATTTTGTCATTTTTTTCATGAACATTGAAGATTTATTTAGCAAGAATTTGCATGTAAATGTTTACAGTACCGTTTAAAGTCAAACATTTTGATGCACTGTAGGCTCAATTTTTGATAAATCAAAAATCTGAGATATCTGGCATGAGACTGGACCTTTGTGCAAAGTTTGGTGAGTGTACACCCAAGGGAAGTATGATTTCCTCGGAAGAAGAAAGAAGAAAGAAGAAGAATACCTAGGATTACAATAGTGTCCTGGCAGCTTAGCTGCCCAGACCCTAATAAAGTTGGGACGCTGTGTAAAACGCAAATAAAAACAGAATGTAATGATTTGCAAAACCTTTCTGACCTATATTCAATTGAATATAGTCCAAAGACGAGATATATAATGTTTAAACTGATTAACTTAATTGTTTATTAATTTGGGGCAGGGGAAAAAGAAGACTGAGAAAGTTGGAATTCTCCAAAAACACTTGTTTGGAACATTCCACAGGTAAACAGGTTTATTGGTAACAGATTAAAGTGTCATTATTGGATATGAAAGGCTCTGTTGTTCACAAACAAGGACTTTTATGAGGTTCACCACTGTGAGAAAAATGTGTGGGCAGAGTCCAAAAGTCTAAGATCAACCTCTCTCAATACACAATTGCAGGAATTTAGGGATTTTACCATCAACAATCCATAACAACATTAAAAGGTTCAGAGAATCTGGAGAAAACTCTGCATGTAAGGAACAAGGCCTAACACCTACATTGAATCCCCATGACCTTTGACCCCTCAGACTGCACTGCATTGAAAACCAACATGATTCTATAAAGGATATCACTACATGGGCTTGGGAAGACTTTGGAAAACCATTGTCAGTAAACAGTTTGTTGATGCATCTACAAAGTTACTACTCTACCACACAAAGTGAAAGCCACATATCAACAACATCCAGAAACACCACCAACTCCTCTGGACCCAAGCTCATCTGAGATGGACTGACACTAAGAGGAGAAGTGTGCTGTGGTCTGATGAGTCCATCATGGGTGTCAGAGAAAAAGGACCATCCAGATTTTTACTAGCTCAAAGTTCAAAGTCAGCATCTGTGATGGTATGGGGTTGTTTTACTGCCTGTTGCATCATGGGTAACTTGCACATCTGTGAGGGCACCATGAATACTAAAAAGTGCATACAGGTTTTGGAGCAACATATGCTGCCATCTAGACAACGTCTTTTTCAGGTACATCACTGCTTACTCCAGTAAGACAATCGGACACATTTTACAACAGCGTGGCTTCATAGTAACAGAGTGCAGGTACTAGACTGGCCTGCCCTCAGTCCAGACCTGTCTCCTATTGAACATGTGTGGAACATTATGGAGCACAAAATACAACAACAGAGACCTCAGACTGTGGAGCAGCTGAAGTCGTTTATCAAGCAAGAGTGGGAAATAATTTCACTTTCAAAACTTTAACAATTAGTGTCCTCAGTTCCAAAATCCTTACTGAGTGTTGTTAAAAGAATAAGTGATGTCACACAGAGGTAAACATGCTGCTGTCTCAACTTTTTTGGAACGAATTGCAGGCATCAAATTCAGAATGAGTGTATATTTTTAAAAAACAAACAAAACAATAAAGTTTAATAGTTTGAACACTAAGTATCTTGTCTTTGTACTGTATTCAACTGAATATAGGAAAAAATGTTTTTGCAAATAGTGCATTCTGTATTTATTTATGTTTTACACAGTGTCCCAATTTTTTGGGAATCAGGGTTGCACTTATTAAAGGATAAGACAGAACGAAATAATAATTTATTAATCCCAAGGATCACAACAAGGATGAAAGGCAAGATGATAGGAAGAGATGAAGTAAAAGGGAACAAAAGTGAAAAAGAGGGATAAGGGGAAAAAACAGAGTACAGAGTATGGGAACAAATGAGAGAAAAAAGAATAAAACATTGAAGATATGAGGTCCAGAAGCAAGAAGTGAAGTATAGTTGGAGGAAAAGGAAAGATTTACAGAAAGGACAAAGGGAAGAAAGAAATGAGGGAATGAGAAAGAGGGATGTATGATTCACTAGGTATATACATTATAGAAGGAAAAATAAACCTGTGATAACTAAAAGTCATTCCTCTCCATGTTGGTCAGTGTGAGGTCTGCATATCGTGGTGAAGATTTCATCTGTGACATTTACTGACCTCTGCTGGTAAAGAGCAGATACTGCAACAGCAGCAGTTCAGGGTGAAGCCTCAGTGGCTGAGGACTGATCTAGTTGAACAGTATGAAACACGGAGTCAGTGTAAAGAATATCAACATTTGTTTCAGCCTTATCGGACTGATCAATAGATATCAAATACACTGATCATCAGGAGGAGATAAAGGTGTATTCCAGCAATTTAATATTGCACTTCTGTTAAGTTCTGCAAGGCAATTTGTTTTTATACACCACATTTTATTATTTTAAGGCAACAAAATCAGATGCAACATCACTGGCTGTGGCCTTATATATAAACTAGGGTTGCAACAGCACGGTGCAATAACCATCTCAGAAAATATTGCAATTTAACAGTATCACGATATTAAAGCATTATTGTTATTATCAGTCAGAATGAGGGTTATTTCTGGTTAAACAAATATTTTATTACTGTATTTGAAACTTGAAACCATTTTTTAATGGAAGTACATGTAAAAAATTCTCCCTTTTGAAAATAACTTAAAGTTAAGATTTTCTGTTCAGTTGCACTTTTTTTTTTTTTACAATATCAGGGATAAGCAAATATACATGTGTGATTACAGTCAATTTTCATATCACAATATACCTTGAAACCATTATACCACAACAACCCTAGTCTAAACCAATTACACTTTTCTGTGTATATACAACTGATTATCAATTCTAAATACAGAACCACCTTTCTCACAAGAATTAAACAAACCTAAACTCAGAGTATTTAACAAAAATTACAAGCAACAAAAACTAGAAACCACAGCAGGTGCAACAAGCATTGTTATGTTGCAGAAAATACAGTTATACAGTAGTTAAGTGCAAAGAAGCCATTTCCATGGTTACCACACATAGAGGGCCTGGGGCCAGTTGCACAAAACAACTCAAGTTAAGATTTTCCTTTAAGTCCTAGGGAAAAAAAAAGGGAAAAAAACGTAGGTACCTCTATCTTAACTGCAACATGACCAAGTTTACTGTGATAAATGAAAAAAAAAACACCCCGCGAAAAATGTAAAAAGACATGTTTGTGGATACTGAAATATTTGTGGATACATATTTGTGGATCATGGTAGACATTTGTAGATTGCCTTGTGTGGATTACAAATAAAAAAGTCCAGTAAAAACTTCCATAAGTATTTAGGATTTGAGAGAAAGGTTTTGTAAATATATGAAATAAATATTTTTGTTACAAGTTGTTTAAGAATGCCTTCCAAGAAAGGTGCATTTGGAGCATGGATATTTTTTGGTACATAATGTCTTATTTTTAGATAGTGGAAAAAGTTAGACTGTTGTAAAGAATATTTACTCTTAAAACCCTCAAATGACTCCATTGTTCCTCTGTCATAGAGTTAGACAAGTCTGCCCAGACCCTTTTCCTGCCAGACCGTAAACACTACATCCTGGCATGAGGGTGGGGAATCTGGATTCCTCCATAGAGAACCCAGAAGTAAAAAGAGATTTTGTAAGTTGGAAACAAAACCTAGTCTTATTTCATGTATTCAGTGTGTTGGGAACAATAACGTTATTTTGAACCTCCAGTTTCACCTTCTTGTAATTTACAATGGGGCAGTCCTTTACTGTCAGTAAATCACAATTTGTAGAATCCATATCAATCCATGTATTTATAACATCTGGATTCATCCATTTATATATACACAGCACATCTGAGCAGCCTAATAAAGCTGCATGTTTGGGGTTTGCCTCTCTGTTAATTACCTATTTTAATTCTAGTCTCTTTACCCTGCCAAATGAATTGTGTAAACATTTTATCTAAATGCATAAAAAAACTAGAATACTGCCCTGTGGTTGTATGCCTCTGCGCACCAGTCAAGTTTCTCTGAAAGTTTACATCCATGTCTTTGAAAACATGAATGCTTCACACACACACACGAGGTTGACACAATACGCACAGTTTCAAGGTGGACACCCAAGATGAGTGACAGAAAATATTTCCACTTCTGTTGCTGAGATATGATATTTAATAATGGCCAGAAAAGCTTTATAAAGATTGTGATGTCACACTGATGCTGACCTTTGACCTTTTGGATACAGAATGTCATCACCTCATCATTTTATCCTATCAGACATTTGTGTGAAGTTTTGTCATAATTAGCATATGAATTCTTAAACTATGGCCAAAAACATATTTTGTGAGGTCACGCTGACCTTGACTTTTGATTTTTGACCACAAAATTACAAACAGTTTATTCTTCAGTCCAAGTGAATGTTTGTGCCAAATTTGAAGAAATTCCCTCAAGGTGTTCTTAAGTTATTGCGTTCACAAGAATGAGATGAATGCAAGGTCACAGCGACCTTAATCTCTGACCCATTACCCTTTACCAGTTCATCCTCGCGTCCAAGTGATTGTTTGTGCCAAATTTGAAGGAATTTCCTGAGGGCATTCTTGAGATATTGTGTTCATGAGCATGGGAAAGACAAGGTCACAGTGACCTTGACCTTTGACCTATGATCACCAAAGACTAGTCAGTTCATTGTTGAGTCCAAGTGAACATTTGTACCAAATTTGAAGAAATTCCCTTGAGGCGTTCTTGAGATATCATGTTGGACAAGGATGGGGCTGACAGACACAGACAAACCATAAACATAATGCCTCCGGTTACAACAATCTAAGTCATCTATTCAATTTGAGCACACTTTTCCTGCCTAACCAGGAGACAGGTAGAGCTCCCCACCTCTGTAAGTCTTCCTTAAAGTGCATAATGATTGGTTAAAGATTAAGCTTAACTAGTTTTTAAGAGAGGGACAAATTCTTATGCCAAGGTATGTTATTTCCGTCATTTATTAATTTGAGCTTTTAATGCATCTGAATACTTCCTACACAACTGCCTGTGAGGTTGACTGGACATTCATAGGTCTAGGCATTCAATGCATTTGGTGTCATTTGTGCATGCATTTGCTTATTGAAAAAATCCTGCAAAGTTTGCTTAGAAGAAGCATGAGCTAAACATATAGACCACACAATCATGTGTGGTTTGTCATTTATTTGTAGAAATACTGTTTGCATCTCTTTTAAAACCCACGAAGAACAAATACATGACAAATACTTTAAAACCAGGTGCAATATGATGACCTTATTAACACTTCTAAAAGAATACAGGTAAACTTTTGTCAACAAACAGATAAACCTTCATGATATTATTGGAAAGTGTGTGTTTAATAATTGTGAAACTGAAGACTGTTATTTATTTTATGAATGCCTATGTATAACATTATTTTGGATAGGTAGATGTTGAAAAGAGACAATAAGTTTTTTTATGATAAGAATATTGATTGCAAAAAAAACACTAAAACAATACCACGCATGCAACTGAAAATAGACATTCAATATTATAAACATTACATGGATTGAAGAATAGTAAAACCCACCAACAATTGAAATTTGTAAAGCCCTAAATATTTTTTAATAGCATTTAATTAATACCCCTGTGTATATGCTCCTTCATTTTGAAATAATCTTCAGAAGGATCTGAAATTGGCAGAGCTGATCACCGCAGGGGAGTTAAAGTCGATTTTAAAGGATTGAGAAATTTGCTCTTTAAGTCAATGTGACTGTTCCTAAATCATTTCAGAAACTGTACCCAAATCATATTTATTCTTGTCCTGGCCTTGTATCTCGTGATAATTGCATACAGTGGTTTTTTAATCATTTGTTGTGTGTGACAGTTGTATATGTCTGTTTGCCTTGTAACTTGTAACAATGTTTCATGCTGCCGTCTTGGCCAGGTCACTCTTGAAAAAGAGATTTTTAATTTTAATGAGGCTTTTACCTGGTTAAATAAAGGATATATAAATATATATAGTTTGTTTGTTAATCTTGTCAAATAGTATAATTACATTACATATCACATAATGACTATGGATTACTATGGCTTAAATCTGACACCAAAAAAAGAAAAAGAGAAAAGAAAAGATAAGCCTTTGCCGGCAACTGGCATTCGCGGGAAATATCAGATTGGGTGGTGGCACATATTTCCACTCTAGAGGGGTGGCTGTATTGTAAAATTGTTTTCTCTTTGCATTTAACCCTGTGATTTTTTTCGCTTCTTTCTAAATGTTTTCTATTACTTATCTTTATTCTAATGTTCGTATTTGTTCCTAAAATACTGCAAAATATAGCTACACTATAATCATACACACCCCTAATTTCACCAGCAGTAGTTTCGTCCGAACTGGCGCGAAATGGAATAGCCCCGCCCCTAATAAAATAAGGAGCTGCGTCAAGTGATCCGGATTCATGTAGAATGTAGCGGAAGTGAAGAGTTTTTGTCTTGAAAATGAAAGACAACCACGCTTTCTGAAGCCACCTCGCCAGTGTAAAGTTTGCGTACCTTGTCTTATTTTGAAAAGGTATGTACCGGACGTGTATTTACCGTTTGTAAGTGCTTACCGTGCTTCAGGATACACGCTGTGCATTCTGCAGAGCAGCATAGTGGCATGCAGACAGGTCTCCTATAGACGTTTGTATAGTTTTATGTAAGGCAATATTTCAGGGTTTTATTGTGATATTTGCGGCCCTGCACACTTAAAGACGAGATTGATAACCACTAGCCAACTAACGTTAGCTTTGACCAGCGACTCCAGCGAGTTGTTACTTCAGGACTGCTTGAATAACTAGCTTGTGTAACACAAAAAATCGCTTATTTGGAATTTATTAGTTAAACTTATCTCGAAGTGTTGAATTAGTAACGTTAGCTCAATCGTCTGCTTCGCTGTTTGGAACGATGAGCTGGTAAGTGAAATTATTTTTGCTTAAGAGAATACAACGTGTCTGTCAGTCTAAGATTTTATCATAGCTTTAGGCAATAGAGCATTCCTTAGCTGTATATTAGATAATGGAGCCGTATGGATTTGCAGGGTGAGTTAAAGTCCTTATTGAGATTTGAACTGATCACCTCCTAATGGGAGGGGTCTCAACGCTGCAATACCACATTGTAAAAAGTGCAAGAGTGTCTGTGAAACTCAGAATCATTTGTCTGTTCTTTTGTTGATGCTGCGGGCTGTCGTAATTGACTATATTGTGTCTGTAGATATTAAAAAACAGCATGTGCTGTAGGCTGTAAGTCCATTAACTCAACCTACAGACGGTGTAGGTCTCAGTGCGAAGTAATTTTTTTCAACATGTGAATGGAGTCAGTCCCGCCCCCTGTTAAACCAACAAGACTAATTCTATCTTTATGACTGTGAATATCTGATGCTGTTGATCATTTCTGATGAATTTGCTAATCATGCTGGAATTTACTGTATGATCTACACACCCACTTTATTGACTGCACTTGGGTTAGTGATCCAGTGATAGTCTCATTGCCTGGCAGCTCATACCAGCCTTGGCAGATCTGTGAGCTGTCACTTGTCTTAACGTGTCCGGATGAAGACTGTGAGTTAAAAGACAGAGGCAGAAATGAGAAACTCATCTTCTGGTTTTGATTTGTGTTCTTCCTCATGCTGATAGCCTGAAGGAAGAAACTCGAAGTGGATCCCCTCACTGCCCCAAACCTGATGAATCTGAGGAGCCGCTGGGCACGGCCATGGAGACTGGTGCTGCAAATGGTCAGTCACAAAGAACCCCAGTCTGTGACCCCCAGGGGCCCCCAAAGCGGTTTACTGTTTTTTTTTTTTCTTGAGCTAATCCAACTTTAATTAAAGGGATAGTATGGATTTTTTGAAGTGGGGTTGTATCCATATGACAGTTATTTACACACAGTAGATGTCAGTTGGCACGCACCCAGTTTGGAGAAGCAGGCTGGAGTCTGACATGGATTGATTGATTTTATTTAAGTGTCGTGCACAAAGTGGTGCACAGCCCATATGGGCTTACAAGACACTCACCAAAACAACAGCCTGGATGGTCACATGACAGATCAATAACAAAAAGTCCACAAAAGAAAAGCAAACATTTCAGAACAGCCAAATTCCATAACAGAAACATCTTATTATGTTGGGTACAACGTTCTCTGTCTTAAGTGCCAAGCATTTTCTATAAATCTTGCCAAAGCAAAGGTCTCCTCATCAAAAAGCCAATGCAACATCTCACCTTCGGACAACCAAAATAAATCAGGATTTTTCTACTGATTTTTTTCAGACAGGTGGTTTCTTAAATCACAGTATAAAGGGCAATGAAACAGAAAATGATATTCATCTTCAACAACATCAAGATCACAAAGAACACATATACATTGCTCCTTTGCGATACCTTTATATCTGCCCACTTCAATAGCCAGAGGAAGGGTACCAGTGAACTGGGCACAAAGGGACCTCTGTCCCCTCTTCAAATTAAAAGTTACATAATGTTCTGTATGGAACCCCACTTTGATTTGAACCTAGTTTCTGAGCTTTGGTTTGGACCAGATGTCATCTTTCCATTGTTCATTGTGAATCTTAACTAGTTTTTCTTTCACTATGTTTATATTACACTGCAAATTGTTCCTAAATATATAATTTAAACCAGAAAATGAAAATAATATAGAAACCTCTTTTGCCTAAGGTTGATTATGAGTTCAATCCCAGTTAAAAATCTTTTTGGTCATCCTATCCTCTGGCAATTGAATAAGGCGGTTCAACAACCACATCTCTGTTTCACAAGACACGACACCCATCCCATGTCCCCTTCAGTAGCCCCTTTAGCAGTATACCTGTTAACCCAGAGAAAGCACCTCATGGCTCGAGACTGAATAGCATTACTGTCAGGGCTATCTTTAAAACCCCACATGCCTGCTGCATAAAATAAAATTGAGCCAACCATTGAGTCATAAAGTTTTGAAAATGTCAAAAAACCTAAGTCAGGGCACAATTTCATTTTACACATTACAGACCCTAAAGCTCTCCCTGCTGACTCTGCCAATGATTGTCTTCCATCGGAGAAGGTCATATTTTCATTAAAAACAAGACCAAGATATTTATATGAAGTAACATACTTTAAGGGCCTTAATCCAAACTGAAATATGTGGTCACTCTGCTGCTCATAAGGTCTTCTAAAATGTAATGCAGCTCCTGTGTTCAGCAATGTTAAATTATTGTTTTTCTCAACTGAGTCTGACTTTGAAGAGAGGGATGTAACTGCTTCATTTTCCCGCTGGAAATCACCGTTTTACATTAAGGAAAAAATGTGGAAATATTCTAAATACAGTTAAAGTTACTTAAACTGATATTGATTTTTTTTTTTTTAGGCGTTCTCTTAAGTGCCTAAAACACTTTTTATTTGCTGTCCCCTCAACAGCAGTATAATATACGGTCTGTGGATAAGTACCCCATACAAGCCCACTTCAAAAATGTGTACTATCCATTTAATGTGGTTTACCTTTCTGTCCAAAGGTTGAGATAGTGAGGTAATTGTGTATTTATTACCTACATTATAAATGGCCATCCAAGAAGTAATAAAAGTTGATCATGGTTGAAAAGATACGGAGCTGTTTCTAAAATGAATGAGGACATGGGGCTGTAGATCCAGCCACTAGCTTGACTGTCACTGTTGTTTCTTTGAAGATGTCAGTGTGAAATCTGAGAATATGACATCTGAAGTGGTCATCACTAAGGAAATGGAGGAAGAAGAGAAGCACCTGATGGAGGAAGGGGAGAGGAAAGAAAAGGAGATGATGGAAAAGGTATGTTGCTTATTAATTCCCTTAGGATGTATGTCCTCCCCCTTTTGTAAATCAGTATATGGTCTGGGACTGGGCATTGAATCCTCCATCCCACTAACGCTTACTATAAACTGGAAGACTTGTCTGACACACTCAGTACATTTACATGCACACAGTAGTCGAGCTAAGCTCATAGCTCGGCTAAACAGTCAAGTTGGACTTCTCATCTTGTCTGGGTATACATACAGAAGAGAAAATAGAATTTCTGACCTAGTTAGGACTGTCAAAATTGCTCAAAAATGACGTTCAAATATTCCTTCTAAAAATAACTCATAGGTTCGAACCATTCGAATTTTTTTTTCGCATTATGTCCACAAGAGGGCAAACTAATACAAGGAAACATACTTGTATATGTATTAATACAAGGAAACATAACTACCTGTAGGTATTTTTATTTCAACATAAACATCTTTGAAAACATTTACATACCTACACATTAAAACACATAAAACAATTATCTATAACATTACGTTATAAAAGACCGCGGACCTCTCGCTTGCCCCCCCCCTCTCTGACCCATGGCCACACCGCCCATGTTAACCGATTGTGTCATCCACACCGGCTGCGCCGCGCCGCGCCGCGCAGCTCTGTTTTGGCGTCTGGTCTATTTTCTGCACGAGCCGCGAGCGAATGTGTCAAGCCGTGGGGTGACGGAGACAACAGCTGGGAGCAGAACCTCTTGTCGACCAGCAGCACTTCTGCGGGCAGTGTGGCCCTGGCGTTTATGCAGTGCGTTCAGTGCAGCGGCCCAGGCCAACGCACACTCGCAAAGAGGACAGCTGCGGTGGTGTTTTTTTTTCTCTCCACAATCGAATATCAATTTTCACATTCGAAGGTCCATTTTTTTTTTCAAATTCGAATTTAGAATATTCGTTGACAGCCCTAGACCTAGTATGTCTGACTTCGCCTCGATAGGCAGCGCTGTGTCCCTTTTAATATAGTGCGTACTGAACTAGTTCGGTTCTTGTTCAGAAACTTTTTAAAATAAATCTGTGTTTCATGTTTTTTCCTTCCATCCATAATCTTCAAAATGTTTAGCTCCTTTTGCTGTCAGAGTATGAATGTAGTTTCCTCATCCGTCCAGAAGTGTATCTTCTGCTTCTTGGTCGCCATGGTGTTTGTTTGTTTGTTTGTTTGTTTTTCCGGGAGTTACTGCACTGCTGCTACGTCATCTCCTTCTTCCGGGTAAAAGCCCACGAAGGAAAAAGTGGTGCATGCGCAGAACACCGACTTGATACATGCAGCAATAGCTCGATTTTCAATCGAATTATCCAGATGTGTTAGTCGAGCCATGGATAGTCCAATTTCAGTCGGACTAAACCAATAATTCAATTTTCTCAAGCTGCATTTAAATGTACTGACTGACATATTTAAAGACAATGGGAGTTTTTTTTCACACACTGTAAGATTTTGTTAAAATTGGGGATCTTGCACTTTGTGTCATGTGGTATGAATGTGAACATGATGGCAACTCAAAAAGTTAACCACTAAAATAAAATCTAATATAAATAAATTGCCTGAAATGTGGGGCACATTGAACCTTGCAGATTATCTCAGAAATGACAGCACTTCACTTTAAAGTAAATAAAACAACATCTAATTCATAATTAAAGTTCAGCTGAAATGAGAGGAATTTTGCGTTGTGCAGTATGAAGGTAACCCTACACATTATCTGACAAAAACTCACTTAAAGTTAACATTAATATAACATCTCAAAAAAATGAATTGCTGCTGAATTCATTTTCTAGATCAAAGTACTGCCAAACCACACTGGTTATGCAAGAGGACATCTCTCCATTTTTTCCACAGCCCTGTTTTAAAACTCCAGATTAGTCAAGCATTACCACTGGGAGAGGGACTGCTGTCTGACAGCTCTGCAGCACCCACTAGTGGCGGCCTTGTACATGAATGAAACACTAATTAGTTTAAGCAACTAATATTTCTTGTGCCAACTTGCGACATTTGATTGTTTAGACGTCTAATTAAAATGTGTATTTGCAAAAAATAATAATGTATTTAATAAAAGATCGATACTTGGTGTCCATGTGTCGATACAATATCGCCACGCAAAATATCGTAACAGTTTGCTGTATCGATTCCCCCCCACCCCTAATGTTCACGTCAGTGAACTTCAGTATTTGCATGAGCCTTGACTATAAACTTAAGATAAAATTAAAGATGTTTGTCGGAATGTCAAGGCGAGAAACGGACTGACTTAAGATAGCTCGGACTAAGTGTTATGATCTCCTTGCACCAAATGATTGAGATCACGGGAGCGTGCACCAACTGAGTAAAAAGTCTCAGGATTTTATCCCAACGTTGGAATTTGTCTGCGACAGTGAAACTGTTTGAAGTTGTTTGGTGTAAGGCCAGCATTGGTATCAAAAGTTCTTCTACAGCAGCTTGTGTTCAGACACCATTTAACATTCAACAACCTGAGTTTTCATTAATGTAAAGGGTTTTTGTAGAAAATATTCCTCAAAGAGTCATTTTGATATAGCTATAAAGAACTGTACAGTATTGGCGCTGGTATCAAAATGCCACTGATGTCTGATTATTTTGCAATGCTCACCTTAAGGCCCGGGAATCAAGGGAGAAGGATTCTCATGACATGCGGTTCAAGAGACTTCAGCATTTGCTTCAGAAGAGCAACATCTACTCTAAATTCCTGTTGACTAAAATGGAGCAGCAACAAAATGAGGTACTGTGTGTGTGTGTGTTGAACAGCAGTTGTGCAGTAACAACCTGTGGTGTGTCTGCGCCTGCTCACAACAGTCTGAGTCACTACAACACCTTTACTCTGATTGCAGGAGAAACTCAAGAAGGAAAAACTTGAAAAGAAGGCCAAGAAGGTGAGGGAAGCTTTACTAAAAACATTTCAACTTAGCATTAGAATATTCTTCAAACCTTGCTCACAGAAGTATATTTGTCTTTGAAATGCAGACCGTGAACAGTGCAGAGCCTGAGAAAGGTGAGCAGCTCTTATGCTAAATACAACAAACCACCAGTTTAAGTGACATAAACCCTGGTGATGTAAACTTCAAATCCACATACATTTTAGTGTGTATGAGGTTTGTGACTCTGTTTCCTGTTGAACTAGATAAAAAGAAGAGGAGGAGGGATGAAGACTACAAAATAGCAGATGTCATGTCCAAAGAAGTAAGTTCTCATTTGATGTTTTGTCCGTTTTGGAGATTTGCCATTTACTGATCTGCTCACATTGGTTCTTCTTGATTTTGTCTTCCAGGAAATCATGTCACAAGCTAAGAAAGCAAAAGTGGAGGAAGCGGTAATGGTTCATTGTATTTTGACCTATTCCTTGTGGATAGATAATAGATTTTAATCATTCAGAAGGGAAAATGGAAATGTCATTTTATCAATTATTTGATATCAGGACGAGGCACCGGCCCAGAAGAAACTAGAAGCTGAGGATATCGAGAAGATGAGCGATTCCAACCAAGATATCAAGAACCGTCTGTCAGAGACAGTGCGAGACAACGCCAAGCACCTCCTGGATCCTCACAGGAAGGTCAACGGCCAGCCGGTGCCCTGCCAGCAGCCAAAGCTCTTTGACGGAGGGGTCATGAGGTGGTACCAGATTGAAGGCATTGAGTGGCTGAGGGTGAGGAGCATGAGAATTTGGAAAGTGATTATTCATTTGTCTCTTTGAATGGGTAGACAGTGTTTTTAGTTTGAACTACAGATTGAAAATCTGACTTTCCCAAGGTAAAAATAAAGTGTATTATTATTAGGGGTGTGATGGTTCATAAAATTCACAGTTCAGTTCAATACCACACTTTCCATCATGGTACCAGTTTGCTGTTAGCTAACTGTAGCTAACTTGTTCGTCGATTGTTTGGTCTGTGAACCACAACCACAGAAAGGTCCAATGCAAACAAGCTGAAATGGGGCATATCGCCACCTATCGTAGCGGAGTAGGACATACTTAAGTCAATAAATCCATTCGCCTCCCATGCTCTGAAGCACTCTGAAGAAAAGGCGCAGGGCGCTGTGCACTCCTTATTGGGGAAAAACAGAAAAAAAGATGCTGCCGCTGAAAAAAACAGGCCATGTGGTCACAAGCTCTAATGCATTTCTATAGAGATCTACATTCCTTAGCCTAGTAAGCACAGAGGTCCTTCAAACTCCCAGGCACAAGTGTAGAGGACTGTGGACACACACCAGCAGTGTATGACACATGTCAAAATGTATACACTATGACGTGCAGTGTGTGCTGTCCACATTGAGAGCTGTGATGCGCCACTATGTGAGTTACCTATTGATTTAAAGCTCTAGATACTTAGTTGTCTGTTGGTGTTTTCAATATCTTGGACTCTCTCCACCAGAATAGAAAAGTGTCTGTTAAAAGATTTGCAAATAAGAGAATGTTTATTTTGCCTGTATAGTTTATTATAACAGAGCGGATTGATGATTCAGTCATTTTTTGATCTCCAGTCACACCGAACCGCTTGGTGTTGTTCAGTGCGCAGTATCTGCTGATTGTAACCCTGCAACCTGTCCGATCTCTGTATCAGATGCTGTGGGAGAATGGCATCAACGGGATCCTGGCTGATGAGATGGGACTGGGAAAGACCATTCAGTGCATCGCTCACGTCGCCATGATGATAGAAAAGAAAGTGATGGGGCCCTTCCTGGTGGTGGCCCCCCTCTCTACTCTGCCCAACTGGATCAACGAATTCAAGCGCTTCACACCAGAGGTAGGAGAATGTGTCCTCTGAATGACTGAAAAACATACAACTCAAAGCAGTGGTGAAGTTAACAGCTGACTTTCACTTTAGATTTAAAAGGTTGTTGCTGAGTTTTTCTGGTAACTTGTCTGTTAGTATCTGCTGTGGTGCAGCAGTGTGATCAGTGTCCTGTGTTTACCCCAGGTGTCTGTGCTGCTTTACCATGGCACCCAGCAAGAGAGGGCCAAGCTACTGAAGCAGATCCGCAGGCCTCAGGGGCCCCTCAGCATGTGTCCTGTGGTCCTCACCTCCTTTGAGATCTCCATGATAGACAGAAAATTCCTGCAGGTAGGTACTTGCAGCCTGACAACGTCAGACCCAATCACAAATCTAATTAGCCTGTTACCTCTGAGTTCATTTTTGATTTCCAAAGGGTGTCATCAACAGGGAGTGTGAGGCAGACTGTATGTTTGTGGTTATTGAATATCAAGGTGCATACATTCAGAACAGACATGCATTGGTTGTATTTCACACAGTGAGCATCTATTTTGAACAAAGTACAGCCATCCTTTGGACTCACTGTTAGAATTCTCTGATGTTGCTTGCAGGTGAAGATAGAGAAGGTCGTGTTTTCTTAGTTTCCAAGGCAATAACAAATAGACAGCATGTATCAAAACTTTTGTGTTGATTTGTTGGTCAAATCACATTGGTTGGATAAAATAACACCGGATGGATTGGCTGCAAAAAAGCAGCATTTACTTGACAAGTTCCATAAACGTGTGGCTCACACAGGAAAAGAAGTGACACACTGAATCTCTGTGAGCTGCTATGCCTGAGCTGCACTGCTCACACGTACTGTGTGACTGACCGCTCTAACCTGTTAACATCAGTGCCAACAAGAACAGCAAGAGGGTTCACAACACGCGCTTGCCCGGACGTCAAGCACTAGAATTATGGCTTCCTTTTCCTCACAGCTTTTCAATACCGGTAAGACCAACATAATTCAGTTGGTGCCTCATGACACTGTTTTTAGATACTCGGCCTTATTCAATACTGAAATGATAGTCTCTTGGTTGTTTTTGAAAGTGCCTCAGTGGTGCTCCTGTTTACAGTCTTAAGGCCGTTGCGCACTGAGTCCGTTTTTTTGCAGATGCATATTTTTATCAGTCATCTGAAAAAAATCATAGGGCACAGAAATCTTGCACACTGAGTCAGATGCATTTATTTTGTTCTGTGAGTTGTGAAAATTGGTAGGACGAGACAAAATGAAAACACATTTCCTCTCTTGCTTCTCTTTAATGGAGTTATTTATCTGTCACCACTCTCTCTCCCTGTGACTTACCTTTGGCACCGCAGCTGCATGAAGTGGCTGAGCTGTCCTGTCTCTGTCTCCACACTGTCTCTCTCTGTCTGTATGCAGTCCACATCCTTCTCCTCTTATCATCATCCACCTGAATGTTACTATCTAACCTGCTGAGAATGAGCTATTTGAGTCATGAAATGATTCTGTATGCCCTGTTCTTCTGTCTTGTCACGGATGTGTCCAACAGCCCCATCTTCTTCACTGATTCTTGGGCAAACAACTCTGTAAAGGCGTCTGATGGATGCCAAAAACGCAGAAAATCAAACCTGTTCCAAAAACTTCAATGACGGACTAAAGTTTCAGAGTCAGTGTGTAAATGTGATTGACACAACATGAGGTCGTTTTTATTTATAGAAGTGCGACAATTTGGACAAAAAAACAGAGTCGGTGTGCAAAGGCCTTTCGTCTCAAACACGCTCCATATTTAATAAACTGTTTTGATTGGCCTGGCCCGTCACGTCTCATGCTGCTGAAAGTCTGTCTAAAGCAGAGGAGGACCACATGCATCAGCCATAGCAAATAATTTTTGCTGGTCAGATCGATGAATGAGAGGAGCAGCTGTTTGTGAGTGACCCAGCACAGTAAATGGTGAAATTTCACTTTCACGGCACCTTACGTTCTGCTGCTTCGTCTGTACCCAAAGTGTGCTTTGCGCTGTGAGAGTGTGAAGCATTTCATAACGGAAAGGTATATATTTCACCAACACACCTAATGAGTGATCCAGCTTAAAAAATTCAAAACGTGGCGGCAGATGTTTCAATCGTGGCGGGCTGCACAAATGAGTGGGAAAGCCTGCATCAAACATTTTGAAACGCTTCCATCCCTTGACTGGCTGCCCCTAAACACTGAATGTCGGTGATTCCGGTCATAGGTGGAGGAGCCCTGAGTCCAACCTCATTTTCTCAGTGGAATCACTGCAGTTTTCTTTAAGCTGCATCATTGAACGCAGAGGAATGCAGGTTGTAATCATTTACAAGTGTTAATACTTTTACAAATCTTAATTTTCAAAACTAAATGTAAAGGAGAGCAGTGATGGAAACGGGACAGAGGGACTCATTTCTGTTAGCTTGCTCAGATGTCTTCCGCTTCAGTGTAAACTACTTTTAAACCAGAAGCTGGTACAACCTCCTACTGCCATCCAGTTCAGCTCCGTGCTGTGCTGGGATTTAAAACTCTGACCAGGACGATGAACACTTTTTACTTTGGTGACTGTGTTCAAGTGATGATATCACAGCACAGATGGTGAACAAAGGCATAAAAACACGTGTCTAATGTAGCTGTTGGAGGAATGGGAGGCCATAAATAATAATGTTTCTCATAGTTGTAAGGCCCCCCCCCCCCCGATCACTGCTGAGCTGCCATGAAACTTTGCCCTTTTGAAAGATGATACAGCACAATATGTTGGGCTGTTGGAAATGGTTAGGTTTAGGTTAGGTTTTTAGGTTTAGTTGCAGCCTTAATTTCACTGTTGTCATGAGTATTGTATAAGAAGCCAGGTCACGTCTGATGTGTTCCAGCGCTTCCAGTGGAAGTACCTGATAGTGGACGAAGGCCACAGGATCAAAAACCTCAACTGTCGGCTGGTGCGGGAGCTGAAGACTCTGCCCACTGACAACAAACTACTGCTGACTGGCACGCCACTTCAGAACAACCTGGCTGAGCTCTGGTCTCTGCTCAACTTCCTCCTGCCAGAGGTGTTTGATGACCTCAAGAGGTATGGAGCCATGTTGATTACTGAGTGCTGATTAGGGGTGTGCCATATCATATTGTTCATGATAATAATGTTTTAATTTTTGATATGACAGGAAATATTCACATCATAATACTTGCAGTATTTCGACTTGTTGACATATTGACATCATACTGTTACGCACAGCAACAACAAGCATGGCTGAAAGCAAAATTATTACTGACTCCGCATGGTTTCCCTGTTTCTCTGCTCCTATGGCAGCTTGACTCCTCACCACTGATGTGTAAAGAGAGCTCTGTAGCTGTTGTTGTGGCTAGTGTATGATGAAAGATGGATGAGGAGAGACTCATAGATGGCGAGAAATATCCTGAGCTAAACGACCCACAATCCCATCATTATAAAGACAATGGCCAAAAAGATGCTGCCTGATGAGTCATAGCTCTGAAGATCAGCTCTTCTGGTGAAAAATCAAGTTTATTCAGGGGCTGTCCACACATACTTTTAAGATAATCCAGAGTTGGAAGAGGTAGAGATCCTTTAGTTAAAGTAGTAATAACTTTGTGTGGTCATCTGCTGATGGGCTGCTGCACGACATGCCCAGTGTGTACTAGGGCCGGCACTTGACCTGCATCATGTGACATGCACAATGACTACATTGAGGACCTACATCTATATTCTAGCCAATCACAATACAGCATAAAATTACAAAATTTACTCGCCTGATGCTGTAGGTGCCTTTAGATTAATATGTAGATATCATAGTGGCATGTACAGTTTATCTGTGAAGTGCCACCTTTGAAGTTAAGAAAAAAATAAAAACACTTCAGCTCTATTTACGTTATCTTGCTTTGATTCGCCAGACATACATTTCACAATCTGACCTGGCTCAAAAGTGACATTGCACGGTTTGAAACAGACTTGGGCAGATATTTCAGTGGACCCATCCTGCACATTCTCACACCATTAACCTGAAAGATGGCTCATATCACAAAGTGCTATCAGCTAATCAGACCTTTAACCTCTCGTTGACTGTGTAGCTTTGAGTCGTGGTTCGACATCGACAGCATCACTGAAGCAGAGAATGTGGTGGCTACTGAGCGCGAGCAGAACATCCTCAGCATGTTGCACCAGGTCAGTCCTCCAGACCATCACTACACAGTGCAGTCATGGGTGACTGTTACACGTAGACATGCTAAAATGTGTTCACTACTTGAAACAAAAATATAAAGACAACGCTTTTGTTTTGCTCCCATTTTGAGTGGATATCAAAGAACCATGCATACAGAAGGCTAATCTCTCTAATTCTGGTCACAAATCTGTTTAAATTTGTGTTGGTGATCTTATGCCAACGCAATCCATAACCCATCCACCTGGCACCATGGCATATAGAGATTCTGACTAAACAGCAACAATATTACACAGGTGTGTTTGGATGGTCATAATAAAAGGCCACCTCACAATGTGCAATTTGATCATACAGCGTCAAGGATGGTTGGATGTACTGCCAAATTCTCAGAAATTTCACTGCCTTTTTTTTTTTTTTTTTTTTTTTTTGGATGCACAAATTGAAGAAACTGGCAGGATTACATTTCACTGAAATTTTATTTTATATAATTTCACATGATTAATGTATTGATAGATTGATATGATATGCAATACCTGTCAGGTACATGGATTATTTTTACAACGTTTTTTCAGCAAAATGTGAAAGAAAATTCTTTTGTGTGCACAGAAAAAGTCTTAGATCTTTAATTTTGACTCATGAAAAATGGCTTCAAAAACAAAAACGTTGCAATTTTAAATATGTTCAGAGTGTGTTTACTATTATAGCGCTGGTGTTAAACTGCTATGTATGTATTGAATGTAAAAACCCTCTGTCATTCATTCCATTTATAAAAGTCCAAAGTAGTAGAAGTATTCCAAGTGTGTTGTTTAGCCAAGAAGAAGCTTGAGTTTAACAGTCCTGAGATCTGCTGTGCCGAGAAGAGAAATGCTGTACTGAGGCAGCTCCTGCAGGAGACCTACATAAATAAAAATGATAGGATGTAGTTCTCTTCTTGCTGCTAGTGAGGATCAGCCAACTTACCGTACACAGAGATGAGGATAATATTTTACTCTTGTAACGAAACCTACAGAACAATGATTAATTGTATCAAGTTTAAAGATAAAGTGAGCAGCATGAGAATAAAGGAAACCTCTACAGTCAAGCACAGTCATGATGGTTCACTGTACAATCATTTTCCTGTCCTCAAGGCACAAAATGCTTTATTCTGTGATATAGAAAAGAGATTGTGTCATCTATTTTATCATTTATATGTATTGACAATATATGGTGTTAAACACACTTAAACTGGCCTCCTCAGGCTTCCTGTGGATACAGAATACTTATAGGCATTATCTTCCATTTCAGATTCTGACTCCATTCCTGCTCAGGAGGCTGAAGTCAGACGTGGCGCTGGAGGTTCCTCCTAAGAAGGAGATCATTGTTTACGCTCCTCTGACGGCCAAACAGGAGTCCTTTTACACTGCTGTGGTCAACAAAACCATTGCCAAGATGCTGGGCCAGGAAAAGGTCTGTAAGGATTTGTAAATGTGTCTCTGTAGGTTTATTTCCTCACAGCTACAGTGACAGTACCAACACTCTCTCTACACAATGTAGTTCTGTTGTTAAATATTAGAATTAAAACATGTTCTTAAAGTTGTTGTTTTTTCTCAACCCTTTGCCAGCTGATATTGGCTTATTGCAGATATGTCAGAATCAGACAATATCGACTGATAATATAAAGTTCCACTTTATATGTGGAACTTTAAGAGATCCTGATCAAAGATGGTTGTTCTGTTTTACGTTGGTCTCTAAAGTAGACATTGCCATTATTCTTATTTACATGTCTTTATCTGTTTTTATGCCTTTGCATTTATTTTATTTTATTTTTATTGGATTTTTTAATCCTTGTTTGTAAAGTGATTAGAGTATCATGAAGAGACACTCCAGTATTGTGGTTCATATATGGAGTTTGGTTTCTTTTTTTGTATTAGCTATTCTTTGTTCATATTTTTATTTACATTTACTTTATCGGTCCATTTTAGCTTCTGTATTACACATTGTAACTCATTTTCATGTTACTTTCTCCTATAACTGGAGAAGGCCTGGAAAGATAGGGCTATAAGCCCTTTGAGTATGATTAAGCTGTCTGACTGAACCCTGAAATAACTGAATAAAAAGAGAATTGAAAAAAAAAGAAATTGATTAGAATTTGGTGGTCAAAGGTTAAGGTTACTGTGACAATGTGTCTGACCCATTCTCGTGAACAGGATAGGCCTCTTTCTTCAAATTTGGCACAAACGTCCACTTGGACTCATGCAACCATGAGGCAGTAGTTCTAGTTTTATGTCTGATGTAAAGCCCCTTGATTTGTGTTGTACTGTGGTACAAATAAATGTGCCCCGCCTTATTTGAGCAGTGCTTCAACCATTAGCAATTTGTTAACCTCAATCAGTGTCCACAGGTGGACATGAGGGATCAGTAGGATGATTTAAGAGTCATTTTCTACATGTCACGTTTAAAAACGTGACATGTACCAAATGGTCAGTTTAATCTACATTAAAAAAGACACATAAAGCTAAGTGTCTACTTTCTTGGTGTGATTAGGCGGAGGCTCCTGTAATGTTGACGTCAAGTGGCAGGCCGAAGCGAAGAAGTCGAAGGGTGGTGGACTACAACGAAACAGATGGCGACAATCGGCATGACTTGGAGAAATATCTTGAGAGGGTCCGCAAGGAGCTTGAACAGAGGTCAGCACTGCCTACACACATCTCAGCTCCACACTAAAAGAACAGAGTAGAATTGTGATGCTTGCCTAGCCTTTGCTCAACTTTGTCTTTACCTTTATTAACATCACATGCTTGTTTATTTTCATTGATCTCAATAGTCTGCTAATATTGTAACCTTTTGCTTGTTGTTTGAAAGTGCCAGTTGTTTAACAAACCTTGCCATGTTTCGAAGGCATGTGGTCACAATCTGTGGCTGTGCATCAGTCTAACTTGAATTCCCTCATCTCCTCCAGCTCCACTCCAGTGCTGGATGTCCAGAGCCCGCTGGATGCTCAGATCAACCTGAAGCTGCAGAACATTCTCATGCTGCTAAAGAGATGCTGTAACCACCCTTACCTAGTGGAGTACCCCTTGGACCCTGCCACACAGGAGTTTAAGGTAACACACTTTTGTGAACTTGCGGGGGGTTGACTGTCTCTATGCCAGCGAAAGCCGTGGCCAAAGGCAATTTTTTTCCTAATTTGTGGGGGGGAGCACGGTATTTGTCAACTGAAGACCCAGGACAAGTTCCCCTGTCTTGCTTGTCATCTGGTGATTAAAGTATAGGCCTTGAAGTTAGCAAGGGAATTTAGTCTTCCTTAAGGTGGACTGTAAAGGTGGACCAGCTTTTCTCATTATAGTGACAGTCTCAGCTGCTTCTAAACAGATAATGGAGTAATATCTGGCTGTTGACTCTCTCCCTTGGGTAAGACAGTTATTAATCCCAAAATATATTTGGCTGTTGTTAAAACTATAACTGTTATTTAATGTACATTATTGTAGTTGGGTTAGGTTTCATTTATTAAAGGTAAAAGGTAAAGGTAAAGTTCCACTGATTGTCACACACCTGAGTGTGTGAAATTTGTTCTCAGCATTTGACCCATCCCCTGAGGGAGCGGTGAGCAGCAGCAGTGCCGCACTCGGGAATCACGTGGTGATCTAACCCCCCAATTTCAACCCCTGATGCTGAGTGCCAAGCAGGGAGGCAATGGGTCCCATTTTTATAGTCTTTGGTATGACCCAGCCGGGGATCGAACCCACGACCTCCCAGTCTCAGGGCGGACACTCTACCACTAGGCCACTGAGCTGGTAGGCCACTGAGCTATTATGTGAATTTGTGAACAGTGTTTTGTATTTGTTCAGATTTATATATTTAAGTACACTTCAAACTGTTAAAAAGTTAATGTATTGTTCAAAGTCAAGTTCACTTATTGTCTTTACAATAAGGCAAGAACACCATTTTGTGCCCCCCCCCCCCTCCCCCAAGTATTGTTTTGGCATCAGTGTTGAGATAAAAAAAACAACAATACCCAACTGCAATGACTGGCATGGCAGTACTATCACATGTTTTTATCTTTGTTTTTGTGACATATTCCTTTTGTTGTCATGCTGTCCTTCCTGCAGATTGATGAACAGCTGGTGCAGAGCTCCGGGAAGTTTCTCATACTAGACACACTGCTGCCTGCACTGAAGAAAAGGGGACATAAGGTGAAACAGGACAACAGTGGCCATGTCACTACGTGTCAGCCAAAGTGAAGGATTAATAAAGAGTTTCAAACTAACAACTGACAGCCGAGAGGTTAATGTCGTGACAGCATGAGATATAACATTAACTAGCTCAATTGTGCTAGATGAGCTAGCAGTAGATGCACACATCTTTCTGTGTTGTGATACAGTTGGTTCCTTCATGAAACTGCTCACACAAGGTCTGTGGATTATTTTGAGTCACCACAGCATGATTTCTGGAAAGAGACATTGCTGTAGAGTTGGCGCTTTAAGCACCACTAGCCAAGTGCCATCTAGTTACATTATTTTGGAGAGAAGGCAGATCTCTCAATGGCCGATATCTCCAACACGTGGCTAACTCACACCAAAATATCTAGAGTGATAAATAGAAGGAAAGAGGAAAAGTTAGATTTATGATTTTGGGATGAACTGTCCCTTCATCATAAAAAGACCAAAACAATAATATTTCAAAAAAAGATCCAGATTTCAGGGAATCAATATTACTTTGTCATTGGCCTGGAAATAAGCAGTTGCAAGGCTTTTTTACGCAGTCAACCAAAATTAGATATATACAGATAATGTAATTGTAAAACTAAGCATATCAGAGGCTTGTGTTAATTATAATTTTACAGTGAAGGGATGTAGCATGTATTATTATTGAATAGTGCTGCTTTGTGTAGACAATCCTCTGCTCAGCTGTTTGTTGTCTGGTATATTACATGCCAGCGTCTTTCTGACTTGTGATTGGTTGTTGTGGTCCAGGTTCTAATCTTCAGTCAGATGACATCCATCTTGGATCTTTTGATGGATTACTGTTATCTGCGGGGCTTCCAGTACAGCCGACTGGATGGCAGCATGTCCTATTCCGACAGAGAAGAAAATGTGAGTTTTGGACAAGTTGAACAAAACTGTGCATAAATGCTTTCTATATGTTGTAAAGCACTGAGAGCAGGCTGCTCTGTGAGCACATTCGTTAGGAGATGTAGAACACTCTGAAGCTCTTGTGTGGACCAAGAATTAGCAAGCAACATAATTGCTGCCTTCAGACTTCAGAGTATATGTATTTAGTAATCATCAGGTTCTTCTTCTTCTCCAGATGACCAAGTTTTCCAAAGATCCCGAGGTGTTCCTGTTCCTGCTGAGCACCAGAGCAGGAGGACTTGGGATCAACCTGACAGCAGCTGATACTGTCATCATCTTTGATAGTGACTGGGTGGGTGCAGATTAAATATCAAGTAAAGTAAACCTGTTTGTGAAACATGTTAACTAGGGGTGTAACAATACACATATTTGTATTCAACCGTTTGGTACGAGGCCTTCGGTTCAGTACGCATTACGAACAGGATGATACGTTGAACCCATCGTATTACACTTGGAAAATAAGATATACAGCTTAAACTGCGTTTAATACAATGTTGTCAGTGCCACTGTGCTCAACAAGGCAGTCCACAGGATGGAACAGGCAACATGCCGTCTGCCCTTCCCACCCCCAAACCAGAACAGTCAACTCCACTGAGACACACAAGGAGGCAGCTATGCTAAGTTAGCTCGGTTTATGATGGTTAGTAACACCATTACCAGACAAGAAATAGAAGATCCTCTGATAACCTGCAGGTCTGGTGTTTGGAGTCACTTCAGTTTCGCTATGAATTATGAGGACGTTTGATGGATAACAAACACACCGAGCCAAAGAATGAGCTGCCACACAGCAACAGACTATCTTAAGCAGCTAAACCCAGTAGCACTGTAACATTCAAAAACCCTTAGCTGAAGGTACAAGCCACTGCCAGTCAGACTCTCATCAGTAGCCAATCCAGAAGCTCACACATGGTTGCACAGTAAAAAGCACCCAAACTGGGGCACAAGAGCTGTTGCGTGGCTTTAGCCTCTCGCTCAGCAGCTACAGTTAGCCCAAATTATGTTAGTTCTTATACATTTAACATTTTCTACTACATTTCTGCTTTTTGCTGTATCGAAAACGTACCAAACAGTGACTGCACTGAATCGTATCTAACCAAACTGAACTTTGAATTTTGTGTACTATTACACCCCTTATATTTAAAGTGTTCCCTGTACACGTATTGTGTTAGTCATCAGTGCTGATGCTTCATCCCCCTCTCAGAACCCCCAGTCAGACCTGCAGGCTCAGGACCGCTGTCACAGAATCGGGCAAACCAAACCAGTTGTGGTGTACCGCCTGGTCACAGCCAACACCATTGACCAGAAGATCCTGGAGAGGGCCTCGGCCAAGAGGAAGCTGGAGCAGATGGTCATCCACAAGAGTGAGTTGCTTCACTTTCATGGCATACCCAGCCGTACAGGCCCTTAACTCCATTCACTGCAGCAGGAGATTAGTATTATTTTCACAATTATTATTACATACAAAAACCATGTGTCTGAAACATTTTCCAAATGTGGACTTTGATGATTGTTTCATAATTTGTTGCTCCTCTCCACAGATAAGTTCAAAGGTGCAAAGGCTGAGCTGAACCAAAGTAAAAGCTGCATTGATCTGGATGAGCTGAAGGAGCTGCTCAAAGCCAGAGGCACTGAGAAGTAAGAAATCATCCTCCACCCAGTTTGAATGTTCAGACAATGTAAAGAACTGAAACTGGGTCTTTACTTGAACTGAACTTCTCCACATAAATGGAGAGTAACATTTGGCTGTAACTTTGTTCCACTCAGAGAGGTGAAAGCATCAAGGGGGAAGGTGATCAGCGACAAGGACCTGGAGCTTCTGCTGGATCGCAGCGACTTGCTGGGTAAGGAGATACACCAGTCTGTATTTCAGCGGGGAACGTGCAGAATAAATGATTGCAGGGCAACACAGGTTTGAATGTCTTCTAGTTATATAGGCTCCCTGACCTACAGCTGACAGCAACACAATCTGTACAGTAATCATCAAAAAATAATCATCCTTTGTCTTTTACTGTAGAAGCTGCAGAATACATTAAGGTCAACTGTATGATGAAAGTAAATTGTTTCTCTTTTGTATTTAGCGGTACAACTACACCAAAAATGTCTAATTTCTTGTCTGTGATCATACAAAATGTCCCATTTCTCTCTAAACTATGGGTCATATTCATTTAACAAACTGGATAATAGAAAGAGCTTTGCCCAAACAAACAGTTTCTCGCTTTACCCTCAACTGTCTAAGAGGACAGTTTGGGTGAAAGGAGCCATTTGAGCCAAATGTCTCATACTGTCTGCACAATAAATCCAAATAGTTCCATGTACTGTGGAGCCCCTGGAGCTTAACTGAGGACCCAGACAGCATTGTCATTCCAACAAAGAGTCGTCTTCATGTTTTGTTTTGGTCATTGGGATGAAGTAAACCTTTAAACATATCTGCAAAGTATAACTGTGTTGTCCCTTCAATTGACTCTTCACAGCACACTTTCTATTTACACTAATAACTCCATGCCAGTGTAAACTGTGATTCACATCTCAGTTGTATCAACCATCTTTTCACTGTTCAACTGGTAAGCTGAAGTGATGTATTGTTTGTTTTCAGACAAAGGAAAGGGGAACATGAAGAAAGAGAGGGTGGGAGTCTTCCGAGTCATCGATGATAAAGAGTCGTCAGAGATCAAGCTGACCTGAAAACACATCACTGTTCAGACTTCAACTTCTGACCACAGTCCTGAAGAGAAACTGACGCTGCACCTAGATGGCTCACAACTGCCGTCACTTGTAGAGAAAACACCTTGAAACTGCTGTCTGTAGACTTTGAATCGTGTAATTCTGTCTTTTACTTTGTTTACTACCTTGATAGTTCTCTGTTTGATGAGGTTTTTTTTTGTTGTTGTCGTTAACCACTGTTCCCTGTTTAAGAGTTGACTGTCATTTGGGTATTTGATGGTCATCAATGATATTTTGATTATTTTCATGGTAAAGATAAAGAAAAAGATTCAGTTTGCCCAGATACTTAAGCTCATTTTCTCCCTGGCAGTGGCTTTAAGACTATCAGGGGACACCAGAACCTGCCAGTAAACCCACAACATTCCATTCACCAGATGTTCACAAATTAGAAATCAGACTAGAAGACTGACTGACTGGATGCTCTCTTCACTCTCAGGATGCCATTTCTCCTGCCTTCACCGGCTGTTGACATGGTCTATGCATCTGTTAGACAAGACAAAGCCGTAGTGACATGGTGTAATCAGGTTATTCCATTCCAAACAGCTGATCTGTATTATCTTTAACAATGTTGTAATCAACGCACTTTCCTGCAGGTCATGTATACATGTTCTTTTATGTCTTTTTATATAAATAAACTACGAATTGATAACTTTATGTTGTGTTTATTCCCACAGTGCCCCCCAAACACTGGGAATACTGTTGAATACTGTTTTAACAGGATAAGTGGTGTGCGTCAGTATGCCGGGTTGTAACTCTGATGCATTGTTGGAGCTAGATCAAATAAATGATTCATAACTGAGATATTCTTATTATTCAAACAAAGTTTTCATGTTGTGCTCCCTGAGTTGAGCAACAGGCGTGAGTATATGGAGGGTAGATCAGTCCAACACATGAATTCTTAATGTTGTCCATGAGTTTCTGTTTTACCTTAAATATAACTTCACTTTTCCCTTTGATCATCACGTGACTGAAAAACAAAATTAAAATAAATGTTGTAGCAACTCAATGTAATAATGGCTCATAATGTAATAACAGAAATGTAATAAAAGTTAATAAGCAGAAGTGTAGTGCTTAGTCATGTGAATGTGTGAAAATTTAAACTTCTATTTTGAACCCACTGTACCTGGGCTTGGGGTGGCGTGATGGTGTAGTGGTTAGCACTCTCCCCTCACAGCAAGAGGGTTATAGGTTCAAATCCACCAGCTAGCTGGGGCCCTTCTGTGGGGAATTTGCATGTTCTCCCCATGTCAGTGTAGGGTTTCTCTGGGTGTCTCCCACAGTCCAAAGACATGCAGGTTAGGTTAAATGGTGACTTTGAATGTGAGTGTGAGTAGTTGTCTGTCTCTTTGTGTCAGCCCTGTGGGAGTAGAAAGTAGAAATGACCTACTGTTGCATGGAGATACTACTTCTACATAACATTGCACCTTGAACTTTGACCCTCTTGTTCATATATCTGTACCCTGAAGATAAAACAAAATGCCATTCACCAGAGATGGAGGTCAACCTGCGGGGATCTGCTGTTGTTACTTTTCAATTTATGTAGTTTTATCTTTTAAGTTATAACTGCATACACTGCAGATGCTAACTTATATTCAACACAGTGAAATTACATATGCATTTCTCTGTCATTGTTATTTTCATAGTTATGTCCTTTTTTGTTGGTTATCTTTATGATTATTTTGTTCATTTAAACAATTAAAATTCTTCTTATTACTGCTCGACTGGTCATGAGTCACATGTATGTGCTGTCATCTGTCATTGTGGCTTCTGACAGCTGTCAATGAGCTGTCATCTGTGGCTCAGTTGATGTGACTTATCACTGTGCAGAGGACTGTGGGTCAGATTAGTAGGGGTGGGGGAAATAATTGACGCAGCATATCATCACAATATTTTAGACACACAGTGCCAAGTATTGATTATTTTTAATACATCAATTATTAATATTACAAATGCAAATTAAACTTTAGGTAGTCTACTAGAATAATATAATCATTTGCTTTTTCAGTCCAACAGATACATTTTGCTGCAAAATAAAATGGCTGACGTAAGATGAACAGACTGAGAACTTAGTCTTGTTATATAAAACTGATGTTAACAAAGTTTTCCTTTGGAGACATAATTTACAGTTGAAAAAAGGTAATGTATAGCAATATATTTTATGGCAATACTCAGCATATCGTTACATATTCAAAATTGCAATAATATTGTATTGTGACCTAAGTATTGTGATATTGTAACATGAATGGATCGTCTGGTGATTCCAACCCCTACAGAATAGCCAGAAAAGCATGCTGGCTTGCATACTGCAAAAAGCGACCAGATGAAGTAGAATATCCTGGTATTTTTGGCATACTGCAATAAGACTACTGTGTATTGGGGCAGACTTACATCTTTTTGTGGTATACTAAATCGTATGGTAGAAAGGATATTGAAAGGCACAGTATGTTACACTTTACTACCACAACAGTGGTGGTTGATCTACTGTACAGTCTCATATGCTTTGAAGTTGAGTTTCAGACCCAGTGCTGACTACAATACAGCCCTACCTGGAACTACTGCTGCAGCTCCTTTTCTCTCTGTAAGCCTGTGATGTGGGACAGGGTGTGGCCACACAGCTCTGTCACCTGCACAGGTGTATTCATGCATTCTCAGACCCTCCCTGGATCACTGCAGGACTCACTCCTTAACTGATATCTTCCCACAAGAGCTCAGGTTGTTTATTAAGACTGCTAAATTGTGGATTTAAGACTTTTTTTCCACAAAGGATTAGTTCATATTGTAAGGTAAGGTGACTTTATGTACAGATTTTCTGATGATGAGCATATTTTCACAGTAGCTAAAACATTTTGTAACACTGTACATTACTAAAACAATTTCTGTCTTCATCACTGGTTGAATAAAAACCAAGCAGCAGTTGGATCTCCTTGCTGTTTTTACCTCCACCCTAAACATTACCTCCAGTATATTTGAGCTATGGAGCGTCTGAAGTTAGTCCTGCAGTACTTCCAGTCCAACTCTGAGTCCATCTCTAATGGAATATGTATCATCCTGGCCTTGGTCAGCGTCAAGCTCTACACTAGCTTTGACTTTAACTGCCCGTGCCTTCCTCAGTACAACAAAATGTACTCTCTGGGAGTGATGATCGTCCCACCAATCATACTGTTCTTCCTGGGGGTCCTGGTCAACAGACATACGGGCGTCATGATGGATGAGTGGATGAGACCCATGGGGAACCGATCCAAAAATCCTGCTGTGGTTAAGTGAGTCAAATATTGCCTTCTTTAATTTACTAAAACAGTGTAGCAAAACTTAAATCAATAATCCGGGCTATTGTTTGCTTAAATCACTGAAATCAACAGTCCTGACAGAGGCATTTATTTGTCAAAATGTGTAGCCACACCAGGCTAGTAAAAGTGACTAGGCGTTTAATAGGGACTAGGCTTTTAATTAAAGTTTTATGGTGTATGTATAAATGTAGAACTGTAAGGCACAAGTGATTTTTTTTTTTTCAGGACAGCCTGGGATATATAAGTATACAATGATGTCATCTGACATTATAAAAGTCAAAGGAAAAAAACATCTTAACATTTTTATGATTTTATTCATTTTTAAACACACATACACCACAGATTTGCAGGTGTACTGTGCCTTTAAAGTTGTAGCTAAAGGCCTCAAGCACTAAACAAAAACAAAGCTAAGTATTTATTGCAAAAGTCTGAGCTATTAACATGTTTTCAAACTTGTTTTCAATTATACAACACTTAGTTCTAACCAAGTGATTTGATTGGCCAAAAGGCTTACCATGAGTACAACAGCATTATGACTTTTAATTATGCATGTATCACTCCGCTTTGCAAGTCTTCTAAACTGTTGATAATATTCAGCTGGTAATTAGCCTACATTAACAGCCATTGTAAGAAACTATGCACAACAAAGATGAACATCTTTTCACAAATAACATTTCGGTTAAATTATGAATGGTTGTCAGAAGTGAACAAAGGGACTGAGAGAATACTTCAAACCTCCAGGTGTGACATCAGCCCACCGAGATAAATTAAAGAAGAGCAAAAATGAAGCTAACGTTGAAAGACAAACATTGAACTTTTATCAGATTGTGCAAAGTCTCAAAAATATAAACATTAACATTTAGTCTGTTAAGAATCTGAGCTGAATACAGTCTTGACGCAATTTTATGGATTCATCTGGGGCAACTAAAGGGGAGCTATACAGCATTAGCCCCTACCTTGGGTTTCAGGATGCTTAAAATTATTATATTAATGATCCTCTGGATGGACGTGCATGGAATTTAATGCAGGACCCATGATTCATATCAGCTAATAGTGTTTTCAAAGGTGTTGTTAAAGAGATTACAAGGGCAAGGGAAGAAGACACAGTCAATATGGAGAGAGAGTCAACAATTTCAGGTTCCTCTGTGAAGAGTGTTGGTAGCTTCAGCTTCCTCTGTGGAGAGAGTCGGCAGCTTCCAGGTTCTCTGTGGAGAGAGTGAACAGTTTCAGGTTCCTCTGTGAAAAGCGTAGGAAGCTTCAGGTTCCTCTGTGGAGAGAGTCAGCAGTTTCAGGTTCCTCCATAGAGAGAGTCTGCAGTTTCAGGTTCCTCCGTAGAGAGAGTCTGCAGCTTAGGGTTCTTCTGTGAAGGACTCACCACACAGACACCAGCACAGTGACAGCAAGACAGAAGCTCTTCTCTGCAGGTTGAGGAGGTTCACGATTGACACCAGGATACTCTGCAAGATCTGCAGCGGCACCATCGATAGTTTATTTGTAGCAGGAGGCTGTGACAGGCTAAAGGTGATGTTTGAGGGTCAAGCTGTAAGAAATGTGAGGATGAAAACTGGTCCAGTGTCCTCCTGCAGGTACCTGTTCTCAGCCATGATCCAGAGGGCCCTGCTGGCACCGATGGTGTGGATCTTGGTCACTTTGCTGGATGGAAAGATCTTCATCTGTGCCTTCAGTGTTAGTGTAGACCCTGCACTCTTCTCGGGTATGAGCAAACACAGAGAAATACATGATCAATGAGTGATCTTACTACAATCTATACTATTCTGCTGTCTCTTATTGGTCTGTATGACATATCATGTGTTCTGTTTCTTCAGGTTTACCCAATAATACAGGTCTGGATGTGATCAAAATCATGGCCAAAGTGCCTTGTAAGGAGGACATTATCTTCAAGAACAGCTCTTTCCGCAAAGCAGTCTCCCGTTATGTCCGCTGCTATTCACAAGTAAGCTGTAGCCTCAGTATGCATACACATATGAGAATGTGGCGGATAGGGTCACAGTGACCTTGACCTTTGACCAGCAAATCCTAATCAGTTCATCCTTGACTCAAAGTGTTTATTTGTGCCAAGAAATTCCCTCAAGGCATTCTTGAGGTATCATGTTTTTGAGAATACCATATCAACCACTGCAAATTCTATCAAATTCATCATTCCATATATCAGTCAGCTACATTCAGAAATATCGTATCAAGTTGGAGGCAACACAGAAGAACTCTTTAATACATGTACAGAAGTTGGGTCTGAACTTTAATGATGCTGTTGTGTTCTGTTAAAAACACACACACACACACACACACACACACACACACATATATATATATATACATATATACATATATAAGTATATATACATACATATATATAAATTCATGGATATGGTCATGGGTAAAAATGAACTAGGCACGGGCAGGCAGCAAGTGAGAACAAAAATATATTTTTTTAATTTTTCAGAATAAACCAAATGAAAAAGATGTGCAGTGTATGTGTAATATTTTTGACCTCTAAATCACTATTATCGAGCCACAATTCCTTTTATTTTGAAAGTCAGTGACACAAGTCAAAGCTTTGACCCCATCCTCACATTCATCATTGATGTGGGGGACTCTAGCAATAAAAATTTGCTGCCTGAGGATAAGGTCACAGCTTACATCCGGTTTAAGACACCTCAGGAGGAACATTTTGAGGTTTTATGGTGGTGGAAGGAGTATGCTAAGATGTTTCCTAACCTGGCATTGATTGCGGGAATGTTTTCACCATCCTGGGCATGGAGCACAGCCAGTGAAAGAGACTTTTCCTCCGCTGGATTTGTAACTCAAGAACCGAGAACCCAACGTAATGTGTGACTGTAGCCTGTGTATGTTTATTCACTGGTGTGGGTCACAGGACTTTTATTAACAGGTGAGGGTGGGCACTGCTTTGACTTAGACATAATGACAGGTAATGTGTCAGTTCTAGTACTGAGCTTAAGGCAGGTATTGGCATGTGCAGATTTTAGTATCATGAACAATTGCTGCGTCTAACTCACAGCTCTCCGTGGGCTCTTCACTGTCACTGCAGCAAATGACTGATAGCCTTTGTTGGCTTTGTGTAGCTAACTCTCCTGCCCTGTCTAGGCAGTTGGCTGGTCCATCCTTCTCTTCCTGATTGTACTGGGAGCAATGGGACGTCTCATCAAGCCCTGTTTCGATGACCACGCCACCTTCCTGCAGACGCGCTACTGGAGCAACTACCTCGACGTGGAGCAGAAGCTCTTTGACGAAACCTGCGTCCTGCATGCTCGTGACTTTGCCCGGAAATGCGTGGTGCAGTTCTTTGAGGACATGAGGGAGGATGCCATTCTCCGTCTTCCCCACCCGCTCTTCATCGCGAACTCCAAAGAGGAGTGGGAGGATGAAGAAGAAGAGAGACTTCATGGGGTATCAAAGCAGGAACAGGTGAACCAGCTGCTCAACAAGTGGTACTACAATAAACCTGAATTGGACGTCACCAGGATGGCCCACAGACCCAGGATGTGTGTTACCTGGGAGGACCGTGATGGGAAGACTTTATACTCTGATGTCTAGGACACACTCAGTGCTGTAGGATGAATCACGTCATGATGATCAGATCACTATCATTAAGCTATCAGCATGTTTGATGTAGGTTATCTCAGTGTAGCCGTAAACGTTGCTAAAGTCACTGATGTCTAAGGTCAGAGGTCCACTTACTAATGATTCAACGCTTTCAACTGCATCTCATGATCTTCAGTCAGCAAATTGAACTTGCACAGGTTTCATCACAGTCAGGGGATAAGAGGTGGAGGTATATGGGTGGAGATGGTAACCCCTATCTCTGTTCAAAGATGTTAATGATGTAAATGACAATTCTGTTTGTTTATATCTTGATTAAGATCTTCCAAGTGTTTCTCTGTGTTTTGGACTGCTTTAAAAAAGTTGTTCTTAGAGTCAAACCATGTTACGAGGGTAATTTGACTATGTTAGGGTTTGGTCTGGTTGGTTTTGCATACAGGTTGTTGACATGAAGCTCACCCACTCAGATTGATGGAAACATGCAAATGGACATTTGGAATCAAATAACTTCACAGATTCACACAAAATTTCTGTTTTTATTATTACTTTTATCACTTAATTGTATTTTATTGTCTGCTTTAAACATACACTAATAAATACTTTTATATGTATTAAATGTGTTTGTGTACACGGTGTTGACATAGTCACAACCACAGAAAAAAAACATGGTTGATGGAGGAGAAGTCCAGGAAACAGCTTGCTGAGACAGAGAAGAGATGGAAGATGAAAGTGCAACAGATGGAGAATGAGCGGAAAGAGCTAGAGGAAAAATTCAAAAAAGACATGGCACAGTAAGAACAGACCTGGGAATACAAAAGAAAAACATAGGGAGGCAGATCATGTAGAGTAACTAAGTCAAAGCTGGCTGGCTGGCTAACAAAAGTTCAGATCACCATTAGCTCGTTGGTCTCTCCCCTGCATCGCTCTGGCTAGTAGAAAACCCACTCAACAGTTCCATCATGTATTATTGGCTAAATTAACTCTGACTGTCATAATGCATAAGTTAGTATCATGGATCACGTTAGCTGGGAAAGTAATTTGGCCAGCTACAGTAGCCAACTAACATATCCACTTAGATGGTAAAGAGTGCTCCAGGGATGATGTTTTTCTGTAAGCCAACGCGAAAATTGGTTCCCTTGTCAAGAACCCAATGGGCTTTTTTCACCAAAGTTTGGATTACTGCAGAAAATCAGATCTGTGGCAAACAAATATTTATGATACTTAGATGTTTTGTTTGGCAAGATAATCTTCACGAATGAACACCGTTTTTGACTATTGAAGCCTAAATGTAATCACTAGACATAAAAAGGTAATGTTAAGCTGTAAACAAATGACACCATGGTAACACAACCCAACATCCCTACCACAGCGCTGCTGTAAAGCCGTGTTGTGCATGATGACGTTCAGTATTCTCGTTTAACCACTTGTTAGCAACCATCTTTTTTACGACACACCAAGTTTCAAAATTCTTGAATGGGGTCTTTTATGCTGACCACAGATATTATTTCCAGCATCTAACCAAAAACCCATCCAAAAAAGTCCAAAATTGCCAACTCATTTCCGGGATTATGCATTATCAACTGCCATTTCTGTTCTCCGCTCGACCCGTAAACATATGCATTAATCAGTGACACGGACCTGAACCTGAACCGTATTTTCAAAATTACCAAAAATAATCAGTTTCCACTATGAATAAGTATAACTTGGTGTTATGCCAGCATTCTGGCCCTGATCACACAGAAAGCATTGTAGCAGCTGGAGGTGCTTTTTTGTTATTGTTTTGAATGAAAATGAAGCATTTTGCTCGCTTTTTTTGCATTGCTAGGTGCCTTGCATTTCTTCACTCTAAGTGTTTGGAGTTTTTGCTGGAGTGCTCTGAGCTCCTCCAGTTGAAAAAACCTCAGCTCGAAGCTGAAAAACGTGAAAAGTTTATTGTTCTAACAAGAAGTTTTTCACGTTATAACAATATATTTTCACGTTTTAACAACATATTTTTCAGGTTAAAACATAATAACTTATATTTTAAGAACGTGAAAAGTTTGTAAGAACGTAAAAAATTTGTAAGAATGAAAAGTTTCACATTAAAACGTGATAATTTATATTGTTAGGACTGTAGGAGGAACAGCCTTTCTGAACTCTCCCAAAACCTAAATCAAAAGGGACAGGGGTGAGATGGGCCACTCTGAGGGTCAGATGTTTATTGCTTTGGCCGTTTCACCTCATACTTAAGGAACTCTTTCACCGTCATCCTGGCGTCAAGTGTGGTAAAGGTGTCAATTGGAAACCTTCCAGATCTGAAGTTGCTGATTAACATCCCATCCCTCCTTCTAGTTACACTCTTTATGCCTGAACCCGTTACGCTCTTAAACTCGGTTCCTGCATAACCCTTGCTTTTATTACGATCAAAATTATTTTAAACTTTTAAGTTTTGCTCGACACATCGTTTTGTCTGTCCTGAGGTTTCTTTCTTTTTGTCTGTGCCTTCAGTAACATTATACCTGAAGCGATGAGGCCAGCCGATTGAAACATTTTTTCTACACGCTGATAATAACTTTGATAATAATATTGAACAGTTTTAACTGTTTTAAGGAGAAATTTGTTGATGTTTTTACAGCACTATAAAATAGATATTAGAGAGGGAATTATGATGTATCATATATATTAAAACGACTTTTTGCTTATTTTTTATAGATTTTTAGAATTTGTGCTCATTCAAAGGTGTCAGGATTTGTCCGAGTCTTTGTTTTTTTTTTCCTGTGTTTTTCTCTCCTCTTGTGTCATGTGTTTGTGTTGTCTTGTCCTCCCTGTCTGTCATCCCCAGGGCTGGGCAGGGCCACCAGTCTCCTGCTCTCACTCTCCTGCGCACCTGCAAAGCATCAGCCTGATTACTTCTCATCTCCACTTCACGGTCCGGCTTCACGTTTCACTCTGCCAGTTCGTTGTTTCAGCCTTAGTGGTAACGCTCTCGGCCTTGTTATTCTTTGCTCTGTGCTCCTGTGGTTTTTTGGCTCTTTGATTGGTTTTGGATTATGCTCGTTTGAGGATTGTGGGTTGGATACTGTCGCCTCAAACTAACTTGTATTTTGCTTCCTAGCCCTGCCACCTGCCTGCCCCCAGCCTTGCTTGCCCAGCCCCGTCATGTTGTCTTCCATCACCTGGGCTCCTTCATCTGCCCTGGATCCCCGTCGTTGTCTTTGTTTTTGTCACTTCACGGCACATTTTAGAGCGTGCACTTTTTTGTAAATAAAGCAATTTTTTCACTGATCTGCATTGAGGGTCCCGTCTCGTTCGTTCAGATATTTAAGTCCTGACAAAAGGTAGTGTAATGAAGGACTGAATGATTTAAAAACTGTTCATTTATTATTTAATAGTGTAGATTTCTGTGTTTCCCTGGAAGAAAGGAGGAATGAATAATGACAACAAACAAAAGAAACACCAAAATAAAAACATCGGTAACGGCTGTTGGTGAAATTATTGCTTTTAACATCGGTATCAGTATCAGCCCAGAATTTCAAAATCGTTGCATCCCCAGTTAAATTAGAAAGTTCAATTGTACATTTTATTATAATTTTACAATGTCATATATTTCTTATTGTTTATTCTTCTGAACAAGTTAATTTGCAGTTCTTTTTTGTTGATTGTTGATTTAGCCTATATGATTATTTTAATACATATACAACATGTTACTGAAAGCAAATCTGCACATATTTCTATCTTATTTTGTTATTGTTAACTAGGTTATTTGCATTTTGGTAATAAATGTGCACTACGGTGACTGCAGCAAACAAATTTTTTGGGGGGGGTGGGGGGGGTACTTGCCTAGGGCACCCAATGTGCTAGGTCCACCACTGAATGTAAGCTAGCTCTCAAGGTGACCAAAATGTGTTTATTGATGCCGTCCTCTGTCTCCATCAGTCACGTGACTCTCGCCTCACAGGTTGTAGCAATTCCTCAAGCGTCTCTCTGTATTTTTCACATCTCTATGTATTTTGCAACTCTTTGTATAGAAAATTATAAAACTTAGTTTAAAATTCTGAATGAAATTCAATCTGGATCAATCACTACCCTCAAACTCAGACCAATTTCATGGCCAGTCATATGTCTATAACTGTGATTCATTTTCCTGATGTGTGATCATCCAGGCTCTCAGTTCCTGCTCAGTCCCGCTTTTACTTCCATTTTGTTCTGTGATCAGCAACACATGTTTTCACTTACAGACCACATTTTTTTCCACTAGAAAGCTGGAGGGCAGTTCCTGACTGTGAGTCATCACTGGTGCCCACACTGCTCACACAGTCGAAGTTGCACACAAGAAGAGGGACTTCTCTTTTCAGTCTTACATGTATAAGGTCGATTTTATGTGTCGGACTCAACATATTTTTCCCAGTTTTTCCCGAGGTGTCATTGCACTGGATGTGGAAAATGGACTACAAAGGCTGAGTCATATGTCCCGCCTCAAGTCACTGCCACAGCGTGAGTTTGCATGACTACTTTACATTGTGACTCTTTGTTTTCAATCAGGAGGCTGGGTTTATTTTTTAAAAAACATAAGTCTCAGTATGTTTTCAACTGTCTCTGACTTCTTTTTTTAGAAACCCTATAAGTATGACTAAAGTGTGACACTTTCTGCGAATAAACTGAATATGTTCAGTAAAAACATTCATTACTCTTCAGACTACAGTAATATCAAAGCAGTGTGTTTGTCTGAAACAGAAAATTCTCTTGAACTCCAAGTTTCTTATTTATTTCCCTGTCCTTTCTCTCTCTACAGCCTGCCGTTGGTGTAAACCAAGCACAGCTCTTCAGTGTTATTCTCAGTACAGACCTAACCTCTCAACATGGCTGCTTATGCACTCGTCACAGAGAACTTTAAGTTTATGTCCCTCTTCTTCAAGAGCAAAGATGTGATGATCTTCAATGGTCTGATCGCCCTGGGCACTGTGGCTGGCCAGACTGCATACAGTGTTTTTGCCTTTGACTGTCCATGTTCTTCTGGTAGGAACTACTGTTACGGTCTGGCTGCTATTGGTGCTCCAGCACTGGCATTTTTCCTCATAGGAATAATGATGAACAAAAGCACCTGGGACCTGGTGTCTGAGTGTCGGCTCAGAAATTGCCGGAAGCTGTCGGGAGCTGCATCCTTTGCGTTGCTGGGAACCATCATTGGGCGAGCTGTGGTTGCTCCGCTAACATGGACAGTTCTTTCTTTGCTCCGGGGCAAGGCATACACATGCGCCCTCAGTGAGTTTCTTGACCCCAGAACGTTGGAGGGCTTCCCCTCAGATCAGGGATCAGAGGTAATGGCGAAATTCCCGTGTCAAGAAAGTGTTCCAAAAGAGCTGCAAGGCTTCTGGCCTGAAATTGAACGACGACTTAAATATGAATCTCAGGTAGTGGAGTACTTTATGTTTTGTCTTAATTTTATTCTTTGTGGAAACATTGTGGAAAGTAGGCTATGTTCATTTGCTTTTTATCACAAGTTAAGTGAGAGTATTGATAGCTATCCTGTAACTCTTTAAGTTTTCACGGGCCTCCATGCTGCTTTCTACTATTTACTAACCTGTTTTCTTGCCTGCCCGTGATGTCGAACTTTACACACACTGGTTTACTGGCAATGGGAAAGGAGTCTATGGCCTATTTTTAGTGGGTTTTTCCCTGTTAAAAAAACAACTTGCATACCAATGCTAATTTTGGAGGGAAAGTGGTATTTATTAAGTACAGAGCTTGAGTCAGGAGGCAGTTCCCGAACACTGAACGCAGGTGGAAACAGCTAGCCTGACTCTGTGCAAAATTCCAAAACACACCATTCAACACCTCTAAAGCTCACTGATTAACTCGTGTTTTCTTTGTTTAATCTGACCACAAACAGTAATATAAAAACAACTGTGGCTTTAGTAGGGCTTACATGCTGAAACCACTTCTTAAAGAATAATGGTGTATCCATCTGCCTTTTCCTTCTGTGCAGCCCCTCCATCTATAGATACAGTCGATATCTATGGGAACACCCACAGAACGTACCATCCTTTTACGCTGAGGGGCAAAACAAAGTATTCGCAGCCATGCTGAAGAGAGCTGTGTGGTTTTCTGCACACCAAATAAACTTTAAAATCCAGAGTTAAGTGGTATTTTTAACCAGGACCCAAATTTTCCCATGTTTTTGTGTCTAAGTGATGAATGACAACAACATTATTTGAAATTGGTCCAGTATTTAGCAAGCACAACGACCAGGCTGCGGCATAAACACTCAGGGCCTGTTGGCACCATCCATCTATGTCCACTTAAAGTTCCTGTTTTTGCCACTGACACTCAGATTGTTATTATAAATGTCTGACAAGATAATTGAAAGGATCCCTACAGAGATTTTTGTGAGAGTATCCTTTTTGTTGAGCCAGAAACGTACCCAAAATTGCTATTGCCATACCCACCAGACTCCATTTAAAGTAACAACAATTTTATCATGGTCAAACACACTTCATTCAAAGCCAACAGAAACAAAATATTCTCACAGAACCCATCTTGGTTTGTCTTTTCACTGTTATGACAATCACCAACCCTGGTATGGTTGAAATAAAACCTTAATTCACCCAGTTCAATGTGACAATATGCTGGTTCTGTACATGCTAAAAATGACTTTATGTGGTGGGTTTGGTGATGGCGATGGCTAGCTGTAAAATCAGTAAGTTGGTTGGTGCTCTGTACACTGTTTAATTGTATTCAACATGGCAGCTGGGTAACAAACTTTCTCATTTTAAAGCTAAACAGTCAGTAAAATATGTTTCTGAACATAGATAACTAGTAACAGAATCTTTATTCAAATTTGATCAGCACTGCCTAGTTTGGAAGTTTAACTGCAGTTAATGAGAAGTGATTGACATGACTGACACTGCGTTAGAGACTCCATGGCTCTGATTGGTTGTTTTCATTCACATGCAGTAAGGCCATTAGAGATGCTACAAGGAAATACAGTAGGCAGAGGAATATCCTTTTTCCCCCACAGCTGTCTCATTTAGTGTTGTTTAATATAATGACAGTTTTAACAAGTATGAGAAGGTTATTCTTTATCGAAGTTACCAACTACAGCTTTAATGTAATTGATTAATGGTGCTTTAAAGAGTCACAGTCGTGCTGGTGATATGTATCAGCTGCTCTGCTGTGGTTGAAGGTATTTGCTAAAACAACACAAACACTTGTAAATCAGCACTTTTCATTGACAGATATAAAGATAGAACAGACAAAGGTATTAATTAATATGCAAACAGCAGACCCAAATGTAGCTGATCCAATGACTTAGAACTTACATAGAAAGTTCACTTCACGACTGTCTGGTCTTTTCAGCTGATTGGCTGGCTGCTGGTGGCAGGAATGTCTTTGGCGGTGTTCCTGATGCTGTGTGTGAAGCGCTGCTCCTCTCCTCTTGGCTACCTACAGGAGGACTACTGGTCTGAGTACCGCTCTAATGAAAAGACCCTCTTCCAACGCACGGCATCTGCCCATGCCCTCTTCCTGGCTGCAGAGAATGTTAAGAGCTTCTTTGGCTTTGTGGCACTGGAGAAGGAAGAGAAGGAGCAGCTGGCAGAGCATCAGAGCACTGGTCCTATCTGCAGCACTAACTGGAACAGAGTGACTGGTGTCTACCTCTACAGGGAGAAGAATGGACTGCCTCTGTACAGCAGGCTCAACAAGTGGGCCACGTACAGCCTGGAGAATAACGTGGAGGCCATGGAGAAAGAGATGGACACATTCAACTGAAAGAATTATACTAGAGTGCAGTTAAGTGACTGACTGCAACCATAAAGTCATCGGTAAATTTCTGACAGGCTGCTTGTTGGATCATCAAACTCCTTCAGAAATTTCTGACAATTTTAGTAACTTTCTGAAACAGACAAGCTGAAAATCACGCACAATATTTCTATTACTTTACCTGTACTGTAAATGTGTTTGGACTGCTTCAATCCCTCAGTCCCAAAATAATGATTCTAGAGTTCCTTTGAATTATGGGGGAATAGGTCCCCTCAGTTGTGTTTTTAAAGTCTATTCTAGTATTCTTAATGAAATTGTATTGCTATTTTGAAACATTTGGTCAGCTGGTAGACAAATGGCTTTCACATGTATTCTTTATCTGGCATACAAGAATGGAAGCCAACTTTTAGTTGTTTCATAAATATGTAGAAAGCTTTTGACTGTATAAGCCATAAAATCTGGTATGGATGGTACAATTTGTAATGCCTTAAAAGCGCTTTAGCAAGCCCCAGTTGCATGTGTGCTGGTTATTGACTACAGACGGAATCCCAATGGTTGTTTTGCAACATCTCATGGGTAGAAAACCACTACATCATGGACATCAAATGAAATGGTTAGTTTTTAGCCCCCTAAAAAAAACATTAATATCAATTCAAGTGTGTGTTATATTAAGAATATTTTAACACTTTATCTTGTCAGCAGGCAGCCCTTTCCGACAGGGAACTGAGGCCGCTATCTCAAAGCCACTCCATGGACAAAAACAGTAATTTTAGAACATGGGAGTTGCTGGTCTCCGCTGCCTTGATCAGTTAGTGTGTAGGTATAGAGGTGAAAATATTCCAGATATAGTGTACACTTAAACAATTATTTTTTTTACCTGGCTAAAATACATTTTTTGCTGTGGCCCAGTCTTCAGTAGTGCATTGCTTAGCTTCTGTGCCAGTAGATTTAGTTTATCAAGGACACTAGCAAAGCAACACAATACATAAAATGATCACAGAGGAAATGTCAGACAGGTCAGATCACTGTGTTTAACTATATATCTTTAAAGGTAACAGTTACAGCTGAAAATTATAACAGAACTAAACAAGTTTGTCAATTTCACATATCTCTGCAATCCAAAACATTTGCCAGTTGATTATCCTGTAGTTTTAGTGTGACTTCACAGTGAAGCTGGAAGTTTTGTGTAAACCAAAATTGAAAAGATACAGTCTGATTAAGCATATCTACCATCCAGAGCACTAGAGGAACACACACACACACACACACACACACACATTCAAGTAAGACACTACTGTGTTTTCATTTTATTACTTGTTATAATAGCCTACTGTAATTTCCTTTGATTATTTTATCTTAGACTACAGATAGATAGATAGATAGATAGATAGATAGATAGATAGATAAGGAGTTGTCCTTTGGGTGGCGCTATCAATCAGGACATACTCCTCCAAACCAATAGATGGCGGCAGTGAAAGCTGAGAGAGTAAATGGATGACTTAACGTGAGAAAAAAAGAAGAAGTGACGCGGGAAGTTTCCACTGCGCATGTGTGAAAGTCTGTAGTTTCGGGCGGGCTGATTCAAAATAAGATGGATTTAATATCTGCGCTGCAGTTTCTCAAGTTAAATGAAATCCCAAAAGGTAAAATTGCGTAAACGACTTTTTTTTCTCTATTTTATCTGCTCGCGATTGTTAAGTACGTTTGGATAAACACAGTCTCCCTGGCTGTTTGTCAAGCAAAGTTGACTGTTTACGTTAACGTTAGCAGTTTCCCGGGTTATGTGCTCTGTATTGGTGTACAGGAAAGACAGCGCTCCAAGCTCCGTTCATAAATTTTGCAAATTAGCCAGTGCCGCCTGCCTTGGAAGCAAAATGTAGTTAAAACGAAAGTTTAGACCTTATATCCGAATTGTTGCGAACCAGTGGTGATTTCGGCGAACTACTGTCTAACGAAGACTCGCTGTATTTTGGACACACAATGTTAACTTAGCTATTTTGTCAAAGTGAAGAGTAGAAGCTTGCTGCTAACTCTAAAGGTGTTTGAGCCATATTGTAACGTTTCCAGACTTTTTGATAAGGTAACGTCAAATTGATATGTTCATAAAAGGAGTTTGGCGCAAGGTTCTCCAAATAATATAACTCAGCAGTGTGGTTATTAGGCTAGGTGTAGGAACAGCTGCAGAAATAAATACATATACTGGATATTAACAATAAACAATACGAATATTTCATGAGCAGCAGCAGTTAAATATGCAGAATAGGTCAAATAAACCAAGCGTATAAAGACCAGCTGTGTTATCTATTGATAATTCCTTGTTTCAGTAATTTTTTTAAGTAAAGTAAATGCCCAAATTTAGCTGGTTCCAGCTTCACAGATGTAATTGTCCTATACTATAGTAAATAGTATGTCTTTGGGTTTCTGACTGATGTGTGGACAAAACATGAAATTAATATATGTATACATTAAATTCATATATATATATATATATATGTGTGTGTGTGTGTATATATATGTGTGTATATATATATATATATATATATATATATATATATACACACAGTACAGGCCAAAAGTTTGGACACACCTTCTCATTCAATGCGTTTTCTTTATTTTCATGACTATTTACATTGTAGATTCTCACTGAAGGCATCAAAACTATGAATGAACACATTACTTAACAAAAAAAGGTGAAATAACAGAAAACATGTTTTATATTCTCGTTTCTTCAAAATAGCCACCCTTTGCTCTGATTACTGCTTTGCACACTCTTGGCATTCTCTCCATGAGCTTCAAGAGGTAGTCACCTGAAATGGTTTTCCAACAGTCTTGAAGGAGTTCCCAGAGGTGTTTAGCACTTGTTGGCCCCTTTGCCTTCACTCTGCGGTCCAGCTCACCCCAAACCATCTCGATCGGGTTCAGGTCCGGTGACTGTGGAGGCCAGGTCATCTGCCGCAGCACTCCATCACTCTCCTTCTTGGTCAAATAGCCCTTACACAGCCTGGAGGTGTGTTTGGGGTCATTGTCCTGTTGAAAAATAAATGATAGTCCAACTAAACGCAAACCGGATGGGATGGCATGTCGCTGCAGGATGCTGTGGTAGCCATGCTGGTTCAGTGTGCCTTCAATTTTGAATAAATCCCCAACAGTGTCACCAGCAAAACACCCCCACACCATCACACCTCCTCCTCCATGCTTCACAGTGGGAACCAGGCATGTGGAATCCATCCGTTCACCTTTTCTGCGTCTCACAAAGACACGGCGGTTGGAACCAAAGATCTCAAATTTGGACTCATCAGACCAAAGCACAGATTTCCACTGGTCTAATGTCCATTCCTTGTGTTTCTTGGCCCAAACAAATCTCTTCTGCTTGTTGCCTCTCCTTAGCAGTGGTTTCCTAGCAGCTATTTGACCATGAAGGCCTGATTGGCGCAGTCTCCTCTTAACAGTTGTTCTAGAGATGGGTCTGCTGCTAGAACTCTGTGTGGCATTCATCTGGTCTCTGATCTGAGCTGCTGTTAACTTGCCATTTCTGAGGCTGGTGACTCGGATGAACTTATCCTCAGAAGCAGAGGTGACTCTTGGTCTTCCTTTCCTGGGTCGGTCCTCATGTGTGCCAGTTTCATTGTAGCGCTTGATGGTTTTTGCGACTCCACTTGGGGACACATTTAAAGTTTTTGCAATTTTCCGGACTGACTGACCTTCATTTCTTAAAGTAATGATGGCCACTGGTTTTTCTTTAGTTAGCTGATTGGTTCTTGCCATAATATGAATTTTAACAGTTGTCCAATAGGGCTGTCGGCTGTGTATTAACCTGACTTCTGCACAACACAACTGATGGTCCCAACCCCATTGATAAAGCAAGAAATTCCACTAATTAACCCTGATAAGGCACACCTGTGAAGTGGAAACCATTTCAGGTGACTACCTCTTGAAGCTCATCGAGAGAATGCCAAGAGTGTGCAAAGCAGTAATCAGAGCAAAGGGTGGCTATTTTGAAGAAACTAGAATATAAAACATGTTTTCAGTTATTTCACCTTTTTTTGTTAAGTACATAACTCCACATGTGTTCATTCATAGTTTTGATGCCTTCAGTGAGAATCTACAATGTAAATAGTCATGAAAATAAAGAAAACGCATTGAATGAGAAGGTGTGTCCAAACTTTTGGCCTGTACTGTATATATATATATATATATATATATAATCATTAATGCCTATGAAACAGCACTTAGATTTCATTACCAGAGTGCTGACAGCAACTTGGCACAAACAACATTGTTCTGAGGAAAAATATTATGTCATAATATTGCTTTAAATTAAGATAAATACTTCCCTTTTTTTGTTTTTGTCTTACATTTAGTTTTTGCCCTTACCCATGTACCATCTTTTAGAATCACACAAAAAACAGAGTACTACTACTTTCAAAATACTGCCTGTTGTTGTACTGTATCACTTTAGGTAATGTGATAACTGTTGTGATTTCCAGCCTGGGTGGACGCAGTGTGGGACTTAGAGTTCACAGAGAGAAAACCACTGGATGACACCATAGAAGACGAACTCACAGTCAGTGGAGACAAGGCCTTCAGAACCCTGTACCAGTGTTTACTGACCCATGCTGCTGACCAACAAGAGTCTGCAGGCAGAGATGGATCTTCACAGGTAAAAGTTCTCTGCTCAGGGGAACACAAAAAGGATTATTAAGAAGGCAATACAGGCAGTTTTTTTAATTTGTTAAGTTGAAATCATGTACAACAAAAATAATAGTTTTTGCTCCCATTTTTCACAAGATTAAGTTGAATATCTAAGACTTTTTTGTGCACTCAATAGATCAATTTATTTCAAATTTTGGTTGCAAATTAGTTCAAATCTGTGTTAGTGAGCACTCCTCTTTTTCCAAGATAATCCATATACCTGACAGGTGTGGATAACATTACAATTACAGCACTAACATGTGCAGTTTGATCACACAACACAATGCCACAGAGTTTTAAGTTTGGAAGGAGCATGCCATTGGCATGCTGACTGCAGAAATGTCCACCAGAGCTGTTGCCTGTGAACTGAATGTTCATTTCACTACCATAAGCCATCTCTAATGTCATTTCCCTGAATTAGACAGCACATCCAACACCTCACAACTGCACAAGTAGGTTACGATGATGAAGTGCTGTCAGGTCAAGACCCTGGTGAGGATGAAGAACATGCAGATGAGCTTCTCTGAGATGGTTTCTGATGGTTTATGCAGAAATTCTTTGGTTGTGCAAACCAGTTGTTGCATCAGCTGTTCAGGTGGCTGGTCTCAGACCATGTGTAGGTGAAGTTGCTGGATATGGAGGTTCTGAGCTGGTGTGGCTACACGTGGTTTGTGGTTGTGTGGCTGGTTGAATGTACTGCCACATTAATGGAAACAGCATTGGAGACAGCTGGAGGTAGTAAAATAAACATTCAGTTCACAGGCAACCGCTCCAGTCGACGACAGTCAGCATGCAAGTGGCACACTCCCTCAAAATTTG